CTCACTTTTTTGTGCTTCTTCTTCTTCTTCTTCCGTTTCTCGTCAGGTATGATCAGAGTCGGTTGCCGCCGACGTGGGTGGCGGAGGGGTTTACTTGCCTTTTTTTTTTTACTTTTGTTTATGAATTTGGGGTTTTGTTTGTTTTTTGCTCTGTTTATGTGTTTTTCTGTGAGTTTGGTTTGGTTTATTTGCTGCGAGTGGTGTAGGTTTGACATGTTTCTGATTTTACTTTTTTTGGTAGTTTTTGTAGTTTTTTAATTATTGTTTTAGCTATTATAGTGGAGTTGTTGGATCTGTTGATTGATTTTTCTATGGTATGGTGATTTTTTTTTTTAATTTTTATTGACTAATTTGTTTGTGTTAATCTAATGCTGAATATTAATAGTACTTGATTTCAGATTTTTGTCATAACTACTTTGACTTGCTGTAATTTGACTGAGTATTTATCGTAAACAAGCTCTCTACCTTCGCGCGTAGGCTGGAAGGAAGGGCTAAGGTCTAGGTACACCACTTTTGAAATGTCAATGGAGAATTTGTTGTTGTTGTTTTTGTTATGTTGAATTACTCTCGAATTAGGCTGAATAGCTGAAATGAACTTGGATAGAGCTGAATATATACAGATGATTCTGTAGTTGATTGAGTGGTAGCAGATTATTTTGTACAGGGTGTGTTAAATTGCGAAAAGATTGTTCTTATTCATGAATTATCTCTCTATTGTTGGTAGATCATGAGTCAAGCAGCAGGAGGCTACCCCTGCAAATGTTGTGTTTGGTGGTTTTTGTTGGTCTACCACATAACTTATACTTCTTCCTGACTTTGACCTTAGGATAGTTCTTTTTCTTTCTAAATGATGAATAGTGAAAATTTGTTTTGGGAAGGGTTATACTCAAAAGGATGAATTTTGCACTTGAACAAAAAAACAAAGCGTAGTAACTTATTTTTCTGCGATTTGCAGTTTATCTAGAAGCCATGTTTTGATTAGAGGATATCAAAGAAGTTTGCAATAGTGTTTGTTTATCAAAAAGAGTTGTGAGTTCCTTTGTATTTGAATTATTACTTGATAAAAATAGTTCCTTTTGTGCTTGAAAGCAAGTGAACACAAGGTGGTTCTACAACAACATAGGCTAGAAGTATGGAATGCATGACTCCTATTTACCCTACGTTAACTAATGAATGTGATATTCAAAGTTTCATTTTTTGTGTGTGATATACCTTGCCACCTCAAGTCTACTATGCCTTAAATTAGTAGAAGTCTTAAGCATGTTATTATTTGAGACCTTGTTGCATTCTTGGAAAACATGGCAAACTGCAAACTACAAGTTTTATAATGCAAGCTTGTGTTCTTGCAGTGAAATTGATCCCTTTCTGGTGGGGAGTCTTGGTGGTTGAATGCTATATGATATGTCAATTTTTTTAATAGATAATGTGAATATTTTGTGTTTGTGCTGCTCTGATTCTTACACTTTCACGAATTAGCTGGTAACTTCTGATAAAAAAGATCCCTAGTGAAAGATGCATAGAGTATTCTTCATTTACTTGTTAGGATCTCGTCCCAAATCTATTGCCAAGTTGTGTTCTAAATACAGACTACTACCTAATTGCCTATCATATCGTGAGAATCTGCACTTCACTTTTATACTTGCTGATGCATATGATTCTAGAAAGTGGACAACTTGATAAAATGATGTGTTTAGTGACAATACCTGATGGGGGTTTCTGAACCTGTAATTAATCAGTCGCCTTTAGCAATTTACTTTAGGCAAGTTTTCTACCTCTCAATTTCGTCATCCTATTTGACAAAACATATAAATGTTGATCAGGGAAGAATATTAGACTGCAACATTATCTTTCATTGATATCGATGGTAAATTGTTTCGTAATTGGGAAAAGCCTATCTGGGATTAGGCAATATGTTTGCCTTTTTGCCTTGTAGTGATTCTTTTAGAAGCAATAAACTGCATGTAGAGATTTTTGTCACAAATCGTAAGTGTTTTATTCAAATAAAAGGCTGGTTACAACATTCTTGCTTACCAAAGCCAATTCCCCTTGTTTGTTATTGTCTCTGAGAAAAACACCTGCATTGCTACATGGGTAAATTAACTATTAACAATCTGTTGCTTGTTTTATTAATCATTTTTTCAGGTAAAGCTCAAGTAAGAGACAAATTATAGTAGCATTCACCATGTTTCGTCGCAAGAACCACTCTAATAGTGAACAGGGGGGTGAGGACCAGCAGCACAAGGTAACCAATAGTCCTGATGTTTATCTTTCTATGTTAATATCCTCTTGCTTTCAATTAGATTATAGATTGGATTTCTCATGTATTTATGATTCTATATTTTTAGGGATTTGTTTTCTTATCATTCTCTCTGTGGAAGAGGTGTTGGTGTTCTTTGCATGTGTAGTTCTTGCATATTAATACTTATCCTTACTATTTGGTATACCCTCTGTATACAACTGTTTTGGCCATGTTCTGTGCATGCATTGTCCTTGCATAGTAATACTTAACCTTAACTTTTTGGTATACCCTTTATATACAACTGTTTTGGCCATGTTTATGAATGAAAATATTTTACTTTATCAGAAAAACTTAATACTTATCCTACGAATGTTTCATGAAAGATGATTGAATCCTCTTGATGCTGCATGGCAAGGATGATAAGTATAGAGTGAATTTTTCAAGCATTGGTTTATGTTAGCTTGTTAGTATCCTGTATAAGCTCTTAGAGGTTGCGTGTCTTTTTTTTTTTTTAAGGTTAAGGAGCTTAGGGCTTCCCTGGGGCAACTCTCAGGCCGCAGTGCACAGTTCTGCACTGATGCATGTTTAAAAAGGTTTTTGGAGGCACGGAATTGGAATGTAGATAAAGCAAAGAAGATGTTGGAGGAGACGCTTAAATGGAGATTATCGTTTAAACCTGAAGAAATTCGCTGGGTAAGGAAACAATTTGCACTAATGTGGTTATCTCTTGTGCTTTGCACTAATGTGGTTATCTTTTGTTGATAACTTGTTTGTTTATCAGCTACATATCGAGAAAAAAAAAGCTTGTTAGTAGAGCTAGAATGAAAAATCTAGTTGGAAAATTATTATATTTTATATTAGTGGTGTCCGAACCAGCTTGCTCGCACCTCAACTAGTCTAGGGGGTGAACTATCCAGTCCATGAGCATAGTACGAAGGTCCTGCCATCAAGGTTACAGCTGGTGGGCGCGCACCTACTGTTGTAACTGGGATTCAAACATGGGATCTCTCCCTGCATTTTCCATGCCTCAACACTGGGCCACTTCCTTGAGGACATAAGAGGTCATACTAATAACCACAGATCACACTAATAACCATGACCAGTTATAACATTGAAATATAAGCAGTATGAGTCTTTTGCAATGTTGTGTGGATATTCTAACGTAGATACTGGAATTGTACTGACCACTCTACAATCAATTTGTCTTACCATTCTATGCTCTGCCAATTTCTCTGCAGATACAATTTTCTGTAAAATTTATATTAGTTTACAATTGCTTCTGCTGACCATGAAATGGTGTTGCATTGTTAGAATGAAGTAGCGAAAGAAGGTGAGACTGGGAAGGTGTTTAAAGCAAATTTTCATGACCGCCATGGCAGGACAGTCCTAATATTACGGCCAGGAATGCAGGTAATGTACAAGCAAGTTGATATCTTCATAAACTTTTCTTTTTATATTTCCAATTCCTATTCCATTTTGTGAAATTCTTAAAATTGTTGCTCATATTTGCAGAACACGGCAGCACTAGACAACCAGATGAAGCATTTGGTGTATCTAATCGAGAATGCCATTTTTAATCTGCCAGAAGGTCAAGAACAGATGGCCTGGTTAATTGACTTCACTGGATGGTCTATAACCAATAATGTTCCTGTAAAATCTGCTCGCGAGACCATCAATATTTTGCAAAACCACTACCCTGAGAGACTCGCTGCAGCACTTCTGTACAATCCACCGCGACTTTTTGAAACATTTTGGAGGGTTTGTTTTTCATCCTCTTTGTTTTTCTTACCTCCTCCCTGCTATTTGAACAAACCTAGCTTGTAGTGTTGTAGTTGAGTAAAACAAAACGCGTACTTCCTTTCATAAGTAGATGTGACTTCCTAATGCATCGGCAAAACTTCCTCTCTAAGAATGGAGCTGTTAATTTTGGAAGCTTTGAGTGGGGGGGAGGGGGGGGGGGGATCAGGCATTCAAATTTTCTACCATTGCCATGTCACCCAAATTTCTTACCGAAATTATTATCTATTTATTCTTTATATTGTTCAATCATTATCCATCCCCTTAATGTTATCTTTTTTTACTTTTCCAGATTGTCAAATACTTTATGGATCCCAAAACATTTCAAAAGGTCAAGTTTGTGTATCCAAAGAATAAGGATAGCGCGGAACTGATGAAGTCGTACTTCGACGTTGACAATCTTCCTACTGAGTTTGGAGGAACAGCTACACTGAAATATGATCACGAGGAGTTCTCAAGGCAAATGGCTCAAGATGATGTGAAGGCCGCCAAGTTTTGGGGTTCGGACAAACATCCCCCTGGTCCTGGTGGTAATGGTAATTACTCTGCAGTAGAAGTTGCTCCAGAACCTTAATCACTTACTCTATAAGCCACTGCCTGAGCTTAAATGATTGCAACACTGACAAAGCTCAGTCTCTTATATGCCTAACTAAGTTCAAATAAATAATGAGGAATGTAAGAATCATGTTCACAGACATTAGCTTATTTCAGATGAACTTTAATTGTAGGTTGAACTTTGATTTATGCAGAAATCAAAAAGCACTAAATATTTAAGCCTCAGCTGGTCTCTTTATTTCAAAAAGTTTGTTAGAGAGTATGCAGATTTTACTCTTGACACTTCAACATCGACTATTTACATAATTTATTATATTGCACACCCCATATATATTGAGTCACAGGAACAAGTTGTACTGATTAAATGAACACACCATATATTATCATTGCTTAAAAGGCACAAATACCAGGCTATATAAGGTTCTCATATGAAAATAACTATTTACACATTAAATAACAATCTCAACATGATACAATATTACCTAAAAACATGTCCATACAGCTTTAGCAACTCACCACAAAAATGCAGCAAACAGATTACACATGAAAAAGAAAATGGTTAGCAACGTCGAAAAATTACAATATATTCTTAAAAACAGTATCTCTGTATTGTTAGCCTTTATACGTATGCTATGTAATTACATAAGGCGCCTTCTTAAGTTGCGTGTAGTACGGACTAATAAACCAACTCCTACTCCAACTCCTACACAAATGCCAAGGCCAATCCCAACACCAACTCGAACCCCAGCATTGAACCAGGACATTTCTCCGTCTTCACCATCCATAAGTTCTGTTCGTCCCCAGTACATGTTGTTGTAGTCTTCTTCGCTTTCTGGTTTGTAGTTTCCGTTGTATTCTGTTACCTGTGAAACACAATGAACTTCAGAACCTGTGCAGTTTCCATCATGTAATTACACATCTGAGAAGCTGTGGGATTCATCTAATTAATTGCACCTGTGGAACTCTACTTTGTGGTTCAAAATAAACAAGTACTAAAGAATTACTAAAACCAACCACTGCCATGATAATATTTTTCAATCGAAACGACACAGAAAACTTAACAATCAGAAACTGTAGATGAAATGCAACTAATTTTTGTCAACTTCAAAAATTAAAGCAGCACATAGGCAATACTTACACATGAGCTGAAACTTTCAAACTTTGGATTTACTTTCAAGAAAAGTCAACTTGAGTTTGGAACAACGTTGACGTATAACAAGCTAATGTTCGTCACGTAATGGATTCGATATCCCAAAAGAAACAAATGTCACTAAGGTTGCCATATGGAGTGCAAAAAAATGTAAGAACAAAACTGGATGGCACTATTCAATCACACAACATCAGAGCAAGGAGCTAAGTGTTATCATCAGAAGCAGAATTCATATATCATAGCATTTCTAAAGTTAATCATGAAAGATGGATAGCACGTGACGAATTCCCACTATATTATCTAGACAAGAATATTCATACAGGGGATGATAGATGGACGGCCTTAGATTTTTGCAGCTGACACTTCAATATTGTCCAACTGAATGACAATCGGGAGGAAGCTTTCCCAAAAGAGCTACAAATGCTAGGCAGCAACGCAAAATTAACAAAAGATAGGCTACGATGAAAGTAAAGATCCAGACAGGTGATAACTACTAGTAGAGGATATGTTTTAGACTCGTTAGAGAACTTCTAATATTAATTATCATTAACATTATAAATCAATATTTATTGAACATATTTCTCACTTTTATTTTATTTAATATGATGATTATATGAAATGAGCTCAAATAAAAGATTGAGGATTCATATAGCTGACGTTGACTTATTTGGGACTGAATCGTAGGTATAATTGTTGTATTCCATCTGACATTTTGCTTCAAGATAATATGCATTCAGACCACCTTCAGAAAATCTATCTAATTTATGGAGACTATAACGGAAGAGTCTATTCTAATTAGCTCAAAGAAGACATCAGAATGGTCAAGTACTCTCAATGAGCTGAAATGGAATGAAAATGAGAAAAAGATGGCAGCCCATCTAGTTGCCATCCTGATGATAACCTCCAATGCACGCCAATTTCTAGAAGGATAGGGACAATTTTGTTTTATCAGTAAAGAAAAACTAGAAGGATAGGGACAATGCAATAATATAATTAAACAATTAGTTAAAAGTATGAGCTGCCCATACCCTCTGACATTTTTAATATAAGATTCTATTTCCAGTGTCAGGTGATTCTCCTTAAAGATGCGAACTTTTCGTAGATCGCGACAAAATTAAATAAACATGTTTCATGGCATGAAACATTATGAAGCTAGATACAAGGGTAGAGTAAACTGTGACGAGTTGTCAGGGCCATGCTTTTACTGACCCCATTCTGTCAATGGAATACCATTAATGTAGTTATCTTTGGTTAGAAGACATATATTGAAGGTGCCTGTGCAATCAATAATAACAATTCTGAGGAAAGAGCTGTGTATAGGATATCATGCATTACTTCTTGATAGATCACCAACAAGGAAAAGAGACGTAAACATTTTGGGGCTTAAACGTATAAAAAAATTTAAATACAATTCAACAAGTGAAATTGTATATAGTGTACCACAGTTATCATTTGAAAAAGAAGAATTTGTAGAAATGTTCTAGTCATTTTAGGCTGATCGTTTGTGCAGCCCTAACCTAAGTTGTTCGGAATCTCCAAAAATGTTGCCGCCCTGTGTCAGATCCTCCAAAAATACACTACTTTTGAAGGGACACGCACCTAGAGACATTTTTGAAGAATTCGAGCAACATAGACCCTAACCATTTGGAAACTTTCAAAGACGACATATCCCAGTCTTTTTAAAAGTCTCTTTTCACACTGTTTAACTTTTTCAGCTTGTTTCCACCACTTAAAATAAGTTCAAATTCAGTTTGAATCAAAGAGGAAGACGGATCCCAAAACATTTTTAGGTCTCTCGAAAAATATCAGAAAGACACTGAATAAACTGAAGGCAATGATGTCGATTATCTCATTCCACCTATTGGTTAACTATGTAAAGAGTTAGGCTGTAGGCATATGCCATGTCAACCATTTTGCATGTTTAAGATTTCGATTACGTAAGGAAAAAGGTCTGAGGAACAAATAATACCTGCAGATCATGTTCAGATGAGACTTCTTTATGCTGTTCAGAAGTGTCATGCTCCGGAATGGAGTCTAACATACCCTTTCTATGGTGCTTCTTCCTGTGATTTAGCTGCAAAGTCTTAGTTAAGATGATAGGTGTCCCAGAGAAGCAACCGGTAACATAGACTTCAATTGTCGGTGACAATGATTCAGAACCCACAATATGTTTTCCTTTCAGAAATCCCGTGCCAGCACTCATAACTGATTCACAGTTCATGCTCCATCTCCTAAGACAGTTTTGAGAATCATTGATGTTGGCCATCTCCAAAGTCCCAGAGAGAAAAAGATCATCTTTATATGAAACCTCAAAGTTCACACTCCCAGTCAATCTTATACTATCTGTGCTCACAAATGTAGCTTCTTCAGCTTTCTTATCAACACGGTCCCTTCGAAGAAAGCAAGAGGCTCCTTCCGAGTGCACTGAACATCTTATACCATTAACTTCAAGCAGTGTATCGGGGCTTAAAGGGATATGGTTAAGCGTAAGAATTTCTGGGGTTGAATCATCGACCATAAAATTGCTGATTCTGATGTAAAATACTCTAATATCAAACCAAGATAACGATAATTTCCCACAAGATTGGTAAGAGGGGTGCCTTATAATTTGAAGACCAGGATCAGCTGGTTTTCCATTGCTTAGAAACTCACGCGAATTCTCCATATATCGTAGCTTCTTATCCCTCACTAAAATCCTTCACCATGTACTCATATAACAAGAACATGATTATAGAACCGTAAATCTGGCACCCCCGTAGGCCTAGGAACCGTGTTTCAATTCAAATCCCTACTCCACACAGTGCCTTCACGTGTATCTTGATCTGGCTGACAACATACATCCATTCATTTACCAATCAGACAATCATATATCACTAAAAATTTGTAAAGAAAACAAAACAAAAACCGTAACCGAAACCGAAAGCATAAATGGACATGAAGATTTTGCCAGGTACCAAAAAAACCAGAATTCCAGGAACAGAATACCTTGATACAAGGAACAGAAAAGACAGAATCAAAGCTATAAAAAGAAAACCACACTACCTTACAAAAAGGATTAAAAGGTAATTTATTCCAAACAGAGGGGGGGATCACACAAACAAGAAATATAAAGATTCACAAAAAAAGGAAGCTTCATATGAATTACTCAGACAAGTTCTTTTTTTTAACCAAAAATTGCATCAAAACAACATTATCCATAAATTTATCATTAATTTTGTTTTTTAAACAAAAGAAAGGTGAAAACACAAAATAACCAAAATCAAACACAACCCCACCTGCAGAACCATAGATTAGAAGTTCAAAAAGTAACAAAGATTGAATCTTTTTCTACTTTTTCACCTCTTTCACTCCCAAAATTATGCTATAAAATTGCATCATAACAATATCATCCACAAAAACACAAAATAATCAAAATCAAACATAACCCCACCTGCAGAACCACAGATTATAAGTCTAAAAGGTGATAAAGATTGAATCTTTTTCTACTTTTTCACCTCCTTCACTCCCAAAATTATGCTATAAAATTGCAAGTCATCAAGAATAAATAACCCCTAAATCACTTTCCTAATACAGACAAAAGGTGAAATCTTTTTCAACCTAATAGACTTACAAAGGTCAAATCTTGAATCCACAACCACAACCTCACCTTCCAAAATTGTGCAAAATTATCTATCAAATCACTTACAAAACTCCAATGAAGGAGCTTGCTCCCTTTGATTGCCTTCTCCAAATCTTGTGGCCCAAAATAAAGTACAGTGATGCTGCTTTTTGGAGTCTTCCTCCCAACAAATCACCTTTTTTCTCAATGTGTGTGTGTTATGTATATATATATAATAGGTATATTTGTGTGTATATAGACTACAAATAAATCAGTAAAAAGTTTATTTGACAAAAAATTATCCAATCACTAAGTTCATACACAACAAAAATAATAAGAAAAGAAAAAATACTGACCACCAAAAGGATGTGGCCTCCTTTGATACGAGGTTTCGAATTTAAATCTACACATAAGATTTTATTGATAAGAAGTTTTTTTCTTAATTTTTTGTATTATAATATAAATATAAAAAATAATTCAAAACTAAAAGTAAAAAAAAAAAAACTAATAGTGATTTTGAAGGGGTGTGACTCAGAGATAAATCTTGGATTATAATTGAACCTTATCTGATAAGGGGATTATTTTTTAAAATTATTTTTACTAAGTCGGCATCTTTAATTTAATTGAAAGTGATATTTAGGTTTGAAGAATGTAGCTTTTGACCAACTTTGAACCTAGACCACATTTATAAATTTTTTTATTCAATATTTAATAAATATATTAGAATTTAATTATTTTAAATTTTTATTCTATATAATTTTATTAAAAAATTATTTTTAATTAAAACTTTTATAATTTAAATTTAAATTTTTTAATTAAAATAAAAATGATCATATTCACTGTATCACATTAATCGATAGATTACATTTATTGTGGAAATTTGAGTGTTTATTATTTAATTGAATTGAAGAAAAGGACAAGCTTACTAACTTACCCTTTAGTCAATCTTTTTTGAAAAATAACTAGCTATTTAATATGTGAAGTTTTACTTATTTAAATAATAAATAAAAAAGTATTTCGTGAAAAGTGATTAACACGGTTTATGATGTAAAGTGAAATTCCTTAATTAGAGGCAATTGTCCTTTTCATAAGTGATTTATATTTAGTTGAGATTTTAATATACACACTAAATATCAAATGTATTTTTTTTAAAAAAACAAATATTTTGTGATTGACAAAGTGTTGATCCCTAATATTTATTAGAAACTAACTACACTAATATTCCTACAATGTTCTCTAATTCTTTCTATAGTCTGAATAGTTACATTTTATCTCATAAATTAATAATTTCATACTAGTTTTCAAATAAATATATTTAAATACATGTTATTTGTTTATGTATCTCAAATATATATAAATTCATTTGAATGTAATATCTATAACGAATTACACATAATTTTGAACTCAATATATTTCACGGTACATGTATCTTGATATATTAAGATATACCAAAATCAAATAAAATTCGTAATATTATCAATTTGTATCTAAATATTTAATTTCTAAATTAATGAAATTTTCATAAATTACCCATATGAAATAGGGAAAATACGTGAAGGGACTTTAACTCGACAATTTATTGGACTTTAACTCGAAAATTAGATGACAAAGCCCAGCTACTTTATTTACTTTAGTGGGCTTCTAGCTGATGGGCTAAATGGTTAATATTCAAAATATGGCTAAATTTTAACGGACCAAAATTGAGCTAATAAATATACGAATTATTAGTTTGTGAATTAATGTTTCGCTCAAACTTAAACAGGTTAGATCATTAATTTTTTCAGTCTTTACCGAAACCAAGTTATCAACCCTCTATCTCTAACGAGGGATGACCACCTGATTCGAAAAAATGTTATTAATTTATTGGTATGAAACTATTGATATAATAATTTTCTTATATTTGATAACTTTTTATTACCATTTATTAATTAAGTAATGATTTAATTTTTTTTATATATATTAACAAACATTAATTTTTTAAATATTATTTTATTTTTTACAAATTCAGATTTCAAAGGCTGAAAAATTCATTGGTCATACATTGGCTAGAGTCTATCTCATCACTCAATTCTTGTGGGGTTCAATATGCTATCAAATTAACCCCAAATGTCAAATAAATTTTTTACCAATTTGTATAACAATAATATATTTTGGCCTAATATTATAAGCAATTGAGTTTTTTTTTAAAATAAAACAAAACATGTATAAATTTTATTTTTATTTTTATAAAATAGAAAAGTTATTTCTGACTTGTTATAGCTATATCTAACATAGAAATTAAAAGTATAATCTCTTTTGTAATGGTGTTATTTGTTTGGATATTTATAACGTTATAAGAAACTAATGTTATAATTATAAAGAACATTTTATAGAAATACTTTAGGATAAAAAACTCAAATATGAATTCACAAAATCGAAAACAAACACAAGCTAAATTAGGAATTTATTTGATAGTTGATTAAAAATGTTGTTTCCTCTGTTTAAAAAAGAATGATCCTATTTCTTTTTTAGTCTGTTTAAAAAAGAATGATCCTTTTTTTTTTTGCAATATTTGAACTTTAACTTTGACATGTTTAACACCATAATATTAAAGGACATTTTGATACATTTAACATAACTTTAATTTTAAATTACAAAATTATTTTTTTTCTTTTCTTAAACTTCATTTCAAACTAAATTAAACTATTATTTTTTAAATAGATAGAAGCATGAAATTATTATTAATACTTACGTAATTCTAATCGAATATCTTTGTAACGATGATGCATGTCTTTTCATCTAATAATTATGTAGTTGCTATTGGTTTTGCTTTATTCTCCCACTTGCTTGCTTAATGGTTCTATTTTTTTAATTAAGAAATTCTTTTTTTTCTTTGTCCCATTGATATTTCACGTGTATATATAAACTAAAAATAGGCTCCTCTATCGAGACTCAACTTGCCACTAAATGCTAATGAAATAAATCAAGCAATATGCATGCACACACCAATACATAAATAAATTATTTTTATCGACGTAAATTATGATATAATGATAAAATTATTTTATTTTTAATTAAAAATTTTAAAGTTAAATATTAGGTATCAAATTTTTTTTTGTTAGAGCATTATTCTTAATGATATTACCATTTACTATCCGCTTATACTTTTAATATGCTGTAATATTATTCATTTTGCGTTAAATCGACATAATTTTCACTTACCTCACGTTATTCCAACATCTAATATGTGTTTTTCTCTTGCAATTAATATGAAATTTAATTTACACGTCCAATTAATCATCTCTCTTTCTCTAACTTTCACGTGTTGATCATCATCGAGATTTTTGCTAATTGAAAGTGTTTATAATCTTTAAAGCCGATAAATTTTTTTCTTGCGATGTGTTTCCAAGTTACGAATAAAATCGTTTTACCAAATTATAAATAAGGATAGTAAAATCGACCGTATTATTATTTTGCAGTTTTCATATTTATTTCGCTAAATTAATAACTTTGATACTGATTATTGGACTAATTTTTTTAAAAACGTTTTGTGATATCTAAGGGGAAGCTTGCAATTATTATGTCAATAGACGTAAAGTTTAGTACTTAATAGGATTAATACATACTTTTTATCTCATTAAATTATTATTTAATTATTATAAATTTATAATATGTAATATAAATAATTATTTAACATAATACACATTTTAAACTAATTTCTTATTCACGAGGACAAAAAAAAATTATCAAACCCCACATGTGTCAAAGGCGACAGAAATGGTCAGACTGGGACACTGATCACTAAAATTACCCCACACCTTCATCACTTTTTTTTTTATATATATAAAAAAATTATTATGTATCTGAAATAATTAATTTAATTAATTCAAATTTACATAATAATTTTTTATTTATTAAAGTAAGAGATTTTAGTGTTTCATATTGAAAATACTTAAAAAGTAAAGAACCAAAACTTCAACGTGTGTATACGTTCCCAATTAAGTTAAAAAATAAACTATAGCCCACGGTTTTCAACACTATCTCAATTTTAATTTTGACTAATGTTGAAATTAATTATATTTTGTACGTGAGATGAAATAAATAAAAATATTTCGTATTTCATAGGTTAAATATTGTTATTAATTATTCTTTTTTTATATGGTATAATTGATATTTCATAGGTTAAATATTGTTTTTAATTATTCATTTTTTATATGGAATAGTTAATCGTAACATTTACTATAAATGATGGGAGTAAAATAATTGTAACTAAAAATGCATTATTTTGGTATATATGTTATATTTGTGGTGATTGATATCTCAATAAGTTTTAAATTAAATTAGTTATTTCAAAATAATCAGTCACTATATTATAATACTATAATTAATAGAATAAAATTTTAAAATTAACTAATATTGTAGTCTAATTCAATATAATATAATTCAATAATCTATTCTTTATCTCAGTACCAACGATTTTAATATAATATTCTTGACCATAGTACCCCTATTTGTCTCACTTCTTTTTTTCCTTCCACCTTATTATCTCTTCCCTTCTTTGCTAAACAGCTGGTCCAGCCAATTACAATTTGTAATATATATATATATATATATATATATATATATATATATATATTTTCCGTCTCATTTTACGTGACACTTTTCGCATTTCGAGATTCAAATAAGTCTATTTGGACCATATGTTTTTCATAAATCCTTTTAATATTTTGAATCATTAATTATTGTAACTTATAATGCTCTTTACATAGTACAAATATATAAATTTCATTTCAAAAAATTTAAAAATTCCATATATAAATATCTGATCAAAATTAATCTGTTTGACTCTCGAAAAATAAAAAACGTAACATAAAATAAGAAAGAGGGAATATATATACATATATATATATAGAAAATGGAACTATTATTTTCCATGTTGGCAGCAAAGGAGGAAAATAGAAGGTTGAATGAATAGATAAGTCAAGAAAAAGGAAAAAAGGAAATATTTGCTGTGTAGCTTCTAATATTTTTTTCATATATAATTGACTATTGTTTTTTTGTTCAACTCAAGTCTCTCTCTCTATATGGTTTTGTATGTAAAGATGAAAGGTTTTGCTTAGCACCAAAAGAGCTAAACACATGAGTTATTTCTTATGAAAAAAAAAATATTATTAGCTCTACCATCTCATAAAAGTAAGTTATTCATTTCTTTTACTTTTTCTTATCATCTTTGCTTTGGGTATGTTGTGTTGGGTTAATTACTAGGGGGTGGGGGTGTATAGATTTATTTATATGCAAAAAAGAGTTTTTGAGTAATTTTCAAGATTGGATTTTCTTATCATATACCACAAGGGTGTATATATATATGCAAAAGAGAACACCAAAAATCTTGAAGATTTGATTTTTTTTTTTGTGAGTAATTTTCAAGATTGGGTTTTTATTAAGAGTGTATAATTATATGCAAAAGAGAGCACTAAAAGCTTTGAAGATTGAAATTTTTACTTTGTGGGTAGTTTCAAGATTAGATTTTTAAGGTTACATATGCAAAAGAGAACACTAGATATTTTGAAGATTGAATTTTTATTTTGTGGGTAGTTTCAAGATTTGAATTTTAAGGTTATATATGCAAAATAGAAAATACTAGAAACCTTAGAAATTGAATTTTTATTTAGTGGGTAGTTTTAAGATTGGATTTTAAGGTTATATAGGCAAAGGAGAGGAAAATTCAATCTTTAAGGTCTCTAGTCCTTTAAAAGATTGGTTTGTTATTTTGTGGGTAGTTTTCAAGATTGGATTTTAAAGGTAATATATGCAAAAGAGAAATACTTGAAACCTTAAAAGATTGAATTTTTATTTGTGGGTATTTTCAAGATTGGATTTTTAAGGTAATATATACATAAGGGAACACTAAAAAACCTTAAAGATTGAATTTTTTATTTTGTGGGTAATTTCAAGATTGAATTTTTTAGGTTATATATGCAAAAGAGAGCTATAGAAACCTTAAAGATTGGATTTTAGTTTTCAAGATTGGATTTAAAGGTTATATGTGCAAAAGAGAATACTACAAACCTTAAATATTGAATTTTTATTTTGTGGGTAGTTCCAAGATTGGATTTTTAAGGCTATATATGCAAATGAGAGCATTGGAAACATTAAAGATTGAATTTTCATTTTGTGGGTAGTTTCAAGATTGGATTTTAAAGGTAATATATACAAAAGAGAACACTAAAAACCTTAAAGATTGAATTTTTATTTTGTGGGTATTTTCAAGATTGGATTTTTAAGTCTATATATGCAAATGAGACCACTAGAGACATTAAAGATTGAATTTTTATTTTGTGGGTATTTTCAAGGTTGAATTTTTATTTTGTGGGTAGTTTCAAGATTGAATTTTTTTTAAGGTTATATATGCAAAAGAAAACACTAGAAATCTTAAAGATAGGATTTTTATGTTGTGGTTTGTTTTCAAAATTGGATTTTAATTATCATATGTAGCTAAAAGAAAGCTCTAGAGGCCTTAAACTTTGGGGATTTTTATTTTTGGGTAATTTTCAAGATTGAATTTTGTTATCATATATACTAAGAGAGAGCAATAGAAACCTTAAAAATTGAATTTTTGTTTCTTGGAGTTTTTCAAGATTCTATTTTTATCATATTATAAGCTTTTGAAATGACTAAATTAGTTTAGTGGATTGTCACAAAGATTGATGGGAAAGAAGAAAGTTGTGAAGAAAACAAAAGAGTTATCAGTAGCAATAGCAGAATCATCAGCAATGAGTGGAGATTCACAACAACAACAACAAATTACTCCTAGAAAAAGAGGAAGACCAAGAAAGATTATTAGTATTGTAAAAGAAGATGAAGAAGAAGTTTCTGCTGAATTAAAGAAACTCAAAACAAATGAAGTTGAAGAATCACAAGGTGAAAACAAAAAAGAAGATGAATTTGAAGAGGATAAAAATTTACAACCACAAAAGCAACAACCTACAAGGAGCAGAGCTAGAAGAAAAAGCAAACCAAGAAAGAGTTGCTAATTTAATTTTTTCTGATCAACAGTATTCCCACTTATCCTCTAACGATGTGACTCTGAATCGATCGATGATAGATGTGCTAAACTACTTGAGCTACTAAAATTCATGTGTCAAGAATCCCCTTTTTCTTTTAGGTAATTTTTGAAACAAAGTAATTTCATCTTTCCTAGTTTAATTTCTTAGTGCTATAGCTAGTTTTTAATTTTTTTTTAATTTTGTTGTTTAGTATGTCTATTTTAATTGTGAGGAATATTTTAGTTAGGGAGCAATTGTTATTAGCTTTACACTCTGGATTGAATTGTGATATGTCACATTAATGAATTTTTGTGTTAAGTGTCATCTCCTTTAAAGAAACTCTGTATAGAGACCAATTCATGCAACATGCATTTGACTAATATGTGTATAATCATGTATAATCAGTATATAAATTATGTATATTAAATTTAAAAGTATGTACTTTTTTATTAGAGTTTAATTTTTATATACTAACAATTAGTGCTCGGATGAGCTCTCTAGACACCAATTCATGCAACATGCACTTGATTAATATGTGTATAATTTATGTATATTAACTTGAAAAAATAAGTAATTTTTTTTGGTTAAAGTAAAGTGGTTTATAATAAATGTGATGGTAAAATATGTAATCTTTTTTAATCTTATACAACATATTAGTATTCATATAACTTTTATATTTACTATCAACATAGGTTAAATAAGATTATTTTGGTATATATATTGAGAGTATTGTCACATTTTAGGAGGAAGAGATAAGATGTTAATTAGTCTCTCATTTCCTCTCATCCTAAATAGTAGTTGTGTAGTTTTTTATTTTTTAACGTGTATTATTGTCTCAATATTTACTATTTTTTTTTAATATCTTACTATTTTCTTGATGTATTTTCTTATATTTGTATTTTCATAACTTTTATTTGAATCGAATGTATATGGAAATTGTTAATTAGTCTCTCATTTCCTCTCATCCTAAATAGTAGTTGTGTAGTTTTTTTATTTTTTAACGTGTATTATTGTCTCAATATTTTACTAATTTTTTTAATATCTTACTATTTTCTTAATGTATTTTCTTATATTTGTATTTTGATAACTTTTATTTGAACCGAAGGTATATGGAAATAGTTTTTTATTTCATAATGATATATATAAATAAAACGTATAACTATCTTTTCAAACTCTTCAAAGATAGAAATAAGGTTATCGTATACCTTATTTTTTGTGAATTCATTATGTAATTACACTGAATACATTGTTATGACAAAGATTTTCTACTTTCATTTACTTATTTAGGTGATTCTTATCGTAAAAATGTTGTTTAAATAAGAAGTTTTTTTTATTTGCTTTTGCTAAAGAGGAAATTTGAGGTGATAATTGATATATTGTCAAAAAGATTGTCCTTTTCATGATTTTGGTAGACGTGAGGCATTTTTCTTCTATGTAATCTTTTCCGGTGATAAAATTATTTCATCATTTATTGTGTTTTATGAATGGATCAATCAACTTTTATTTTTGACTTCAAAATATTTATATTCACATAACAAATAGAAAAGATTTGTTTTATATACCGTATATGTATATATTATTTAACGATGATGAATGATGTATATTCTTACTTTAATTTGCAATTTGTCACACTTAGAAGAAACTTATAATTTTGTTACGGAGTACTATATAAGTAAAAAAAAAAACGGGGGGTGCGTAGTTAAATTATATATAGAGGTGAAGCTAGCTTATATGTTATCGAATTTAGATGAATTCAATAGATTTTATTCTGTTTTTGTATAGATTTTATACAATTCGCTTTAATTGTATATGTATAGCGAATTATACATATATAAGTTTGCTATGAAGAGCAATTATGCAAACTTTGCTATAACATATAAATATGAATTTTATGTTTGATATATGTGAAAGTTGCACATATTTAAATGACATTTGCTTCTTTTAAAGAAAATGTATTAAGAGATTCTGCAAAATATCAATAAATATTTGATTATGAACTCATAACTGTTGTATCTATAAGTTTACGGTAAAAGTTAATAAACTTTAAATTCTTAATCTATCTATGATTAAAAAAATATGATTATAATGCATAACATATACTCTTGCTTACGTTCTCAAATATCAATAAATATTTTTTTTTCTAATGAGAAAGCGTTTCAATTTCCAACAAATATATTTAGCTAAATTTGGTAACACAGCTTTATATTTTTTTTGGAATGGGTACTGATTTCTCTCTTTATGTATGTGTTCTTCAAGTAATATCTCCAAATGTATATTGACATGTTATTTTATTTTTTCGAATTTGTGAAGCAATACATAATTTAAAGAATATTTACGTACATAATCGAATAAGATTTTCACTATTATCGTTTGTGAAATCATAAAAATATAAAAGAAAGGACAGATATATATATAAAAAAATAAAATCAAACACCCATTTTAAACTTTGAAATATTTAATACTCAACAATGAAAAAAATAAAAAATTAAGTTAATATGAAATACAGAGAGTAACTATATAAAATAATGTTATTTTAATTTTTTTACTTGTAAAATCTTTATATAGTGTCCAGTAATCACATTAAATCTCAATTTGTATCCAGTTCCCCCTATCAATATATTTTCCATATTTAATACTCCAAACCATAAGTTCTACTACAATTTTGTTCTGCTGACTAAGATTTATATTTGTTAAAAATATCTACCAATGTTTGTTTATAAGAATCCGGAGCTTAAAGGTCGAAAAATGTTAATAAAAATTTTAAAACGGTATATAAAATTTCTTTTAATCATTCATGAGCGATTTTGCCCGCCGGAAAAAAGTAAAATTGCTGCTATAGCAGCGATTTGTTAAATTTAATTTTTTAAAAAAAGAAAATTTAAACAAAATCGATCCCAAAGGAGCGATTTTCGAAATAAATTTCTTTTTTTATAACTTTTTTAGTATGTCGCTGCTTATGCAGCGACTTAAGTTTAAATTATTATTTTTTAATCTTTTACTTCTTTTTTTTTTAAAAAAAAGTTTAAAAAAATGAAAAATTTAAAATCAAATCGCTGTCAAGAAAAAGATTTTTAATTAATTTTTATTTTGTCCTTAAAACTAATTCTTTTTAAAAGTGTAAATCGTATTGACTACCTGCATGAATATCGTTAAATTTCAAAAGAGTTTCTCCATTGTTCATTTTTTTTAATATATTTAGTCAAAAGAGTGTACGGATAAAATTAGAAAAAAAATGTTAATTTTCATTTACGATTTCTTAAGTGGTTGGTAAAGGTAAAAGTAATCAAAGTAATATGAGAAAGGAATCAAAGTATTTAAATTTCCATAAAGAAATGTAGAACAAATTTTATTTTATATGAGAAAGGAGGAAAGTAGTATTTATATTTCCATGACTAAATTTAGAACAAAATTTAATGTTGATAAACTGAATTATGATAACAAAAATGAAAGGATAAGAATGAGAGATTACACTAATTTTTCGAAAGATATAATGAATGAGATTCTATTGAGGTGTCTTGTAAAATCGTTGTTGCGATTCAAATGTGTCCACAATTACTCTATCGTTCTTTTATTCGACTTTGGGAGTGAGATGTTTGAGGGGATTGAAGGGCCACATATTCATACTTCATGTGTTTGGTTTGATGTTGGATAATGATTCCATCGCCATCTTGAATTTGAACGATCTTAATATGTCTGATCATGCTATATGGATAATGATCCAACTAGGGCTTTGAAACAAACTTGTTATCTTTCAATGCTTCCTATTTTGAAGTCTTGTTATGATAGCTCTCATTTTGGCAACTAGAACTTCTCGATTGATCTCTTATAATGTTCGAACTAACAAGTTGAAGGATCTTGCATTTCAATGTCTAGGTTTGGGAAAGCATGCGAAAGCTAGCGATTGCGGGGTATTTTATTTTGAATTGAGCTTATAAGTGTGCAAAATTACCTGAGCACGTGATACATATCACATTTCATTAAAGTTATTTTTTTCGTTCAAGTTGAAGTATATATTATTAATAGTGTTATAATTAAAGATATTTCGCTCGAATATCATTTAAAGCTCCGTGAAAATAATCACTTACTTTCTCTTTTGTCTTCATATAATAAGCAGAATTCACATTTTCTTGAATTTATTATGAATAAAGTGACAGTCAACCTTATTCCTTAATTCGAATAAGAGACATTTCCTTCTTACCTTCATCAGTTGATGGACTTGACTTTTTCTTTATTCAAATAGGCGTAAGCTTGATCGGAAATAAAATTCGATCCCTAATTTTCCTTGAATAGACAAGATTTGTTTTATATACTGTATGCATTTTGTTATCTATATAGTGTCCAATGATCACATTGAGTCTCAATTTATGTTGAGTAAAATTCATAGAAAAAGTGAATGAACCCCTATGAATATATTTTTCACACCTAATGCTCGAACTTAAAATTTCTATTACAATTTTGTTTCACCGACGACGATGTTGCTCTCTATTATATTAATTAAAGACATCTATCGATATTTGTTTATAGTACTATCAAGATAATGATTTTTATTCTTTAATGTTGTCTTAATTTATGAATGAGCTTTTACAAATTCATATTACAACAAAACGTTATTACACTTGTAATAACTTTTTTTTAGCTTGTACAATCTAAATTGTTTGTCAAATTTTCTACAAAATATTCATCACAATTTATATTATCTTTTTCTTACTCCCTTTCATCCAATATTTTTTTTTCATATTTATGAAAAAAAAAATATTTATCAATTTTTAAAATCAAGACATAAACAATAAAATATTTTTTTTTTAATTTTGCCCTTAAAATTAGATATTTTTAAATGTGTACACCGTGTTAATCTAGTGCATCACATTGTGAAGTTTCAAAAGAATTACTCCATTATTTTGTTCCACGTATGCATTTAGAATTCGTTTGGATTGATTTAAAAAAAGTAACTTTTAATTTAAAATTTAAAAATTTAAGTGAAAACAAAAAAATAGGGATAGTCCTGCTTTTGTTTTTCTTTAAAACATTTTAAAGTCATTCTAAACTTATTTTAAATTATTTTAAATCATGTCAAACACTCACAAAAACTAAAATTGATTTAAACATACGTTTGACCAACTTTAAAGTTAATTCAAACAAATTCTTAGTATAAAAAGTACATATATAGATAAAACTAGTACACATATTAATTCTTATTTATGATTTCTTAGACGGCTAATAAAGAAAAGTAGTCAAAGTAATATGAGAAAGTAGACAAAGTATTTAGATTTTGGATTATAAAATTTAAATTGGGTCAGAAGAAAAAAAGTAAATTGATTTTCATAGCTAAATACAGAATAAAATTTAATAAATGAGAAATGTAGTCAAAATATCATTTAAAAGTAGTCAAAGTAATTAGATTTGGAACAAATTTGAATTGAATAAGAAGGAATATTGTATTAATTAGATTTTTCATAACCAAATAGAGAAATAAAATTTAAAATGATAAATGCAGTCAAAGTATTTTGGATTTACATGACTAAATGTAGAATAACATTTAATGGTGGTAAAATGAATTATTGTAATATAAATGAAGGATATGAATGGGGGAATTTCATCCTTGTCTATTTAAAGAAGAAGCAATTTTGTTTTTGTTGAAACCTAAAAATGGATGACTGTGTGGTTCATTTCCCTGAAGATATACAAAAGGATATTCTGTTAAGATGTCCAGTGAAGTCATTGTTGCGTTTCAAATGTGTAAGCAAGAGCTGGTGTGCTCTTATCAAAAATCCTAAATTCGTTCAACAACACTTGAAGAATCGTAGCCCCCCACAACTCCTCGCCTATACTGTTGGTACCTCAAATGATGCTGGGCGAGGTCCCCGCTCCATAACTTTGATTTCTGAAGAAAATCCACAAACATTCATAGGTATGACACATCTCATAGGTTCTGTGGATGGTTTATTTTTAATGTATAGAATAATTGATACTATGATTTCATGTGCATTGTGGAATCCTGCTACTAGAGAAGTGAGATCCCTCCAAATCCCACTCCCCGCACCCATAATATTTGATGCCCCTCTGTTGGGGTTCGGGTTGGACCCCGTGACTAATGACTATAAAATTGTTTACTCTCATTGTGGTTATTGGCGTAAATATACGGCAGCAGTCTATTCCTGTTCTAGGGGTTCATGGAGAATTTTTAAACCTAAAGAACCAGTCCCCTTCTACACAGACGTGAAACACTCATTTGGTACTGCTTATTTGAATGGAAGTTACTACTGGTTGCTAAGAGGGGGCGACCAACGTAATTACACCATTCTTTCGTTCGAATTTGGAAGTGAGATGTTTGAAGAAATCGAAGGGCCAGATAGAAACATTGTATCTACTTTTGCGTTGGGTTTGATGTTAATTGATGATTCCATTGCCATGTTGAACTATACCACATATACTATGCTTGCTTATGATATTTGGGCTTTGATCCAACCAGGGGTCTGGAACAAAATTGTGACCTTTGAACTCTTCACACCAATTAAGACTTGTTATGATAGCTCTCTCATTACAGTCGTTAATGATTCTCAACTGGTCTCTTATAATGTTCGGACTAACAGTATGAGGTATCTTGGATTTCAACATCCGGGTTTGAGCAGACATGCAATATTGGGTGGTTGTGGGGTTTCTTATTATAAGGAGAGCTTAGTAACATTCAAACAACAAGAGCATGAAGATTTGGACCATTAATTGAGCTTTTCAACAAATGACATGTGACCTAATCATTTAATTGTTTTAAGTATGTAATTGAGCTTATATGTTCACACAATTTCATACTACTTGATTTTGGTCTTTGAAGAGTTGATTATAGTCTCAACTTAATCTATAAAAAAAAGACTCTTTCTTTTGTGATGCTTTATAAAGTTTTGATTTCTATTTAGTTTAATTTTCTTATTGTTATTACTGAGTATCCAGCAAAATGAAAGTGGTGTAAAAATAATATCCATAGGGAGCATTATTATTGCAAGTGTGAAGTACTCAAATATTCATTGATACAAGGTTATATTTGCTACACAAACTAATATAGGCTGATATAAACATGTTTGACATAACCATTAGAGTGATGCGATTGTATTCATTAATTTGATATAATTGGTAATCTTCTTGTTTTCCTATGAATTCATTTCTATATTTGGTAGAATACAATTGATACAACAAGAGAGCGAGCGAGGTAGAAGGTGGGGGACAGAGGAGAGAGATTTACGGTAAAATTTTAATTATAGTTATATCTGATAGTATTTAAAACTATCGATAGATATAGTAGTTATCTTTGCTAAGTTATGTGAAAATTTCATATATGCTACAAATGTCGTAACCAAAAACTCCAAAAACAATTCATCATCATCAAAATAACTTTCTTTCGGCTCAAAGCTTAGAATGTTAACAAGTGATCTTTTTAAATTACAAAATATAATTCTTTTTATAAATATTTTGATATATAAGGTTTTTCGTCATAAGTTAATTTGAACTACCTATCAGTCAATTTGATGACTTGAATTGAGCGGATCGTGGCTACGTATATCTCAACAATCTTTTTGAGCTTTCGAGGAGGTTTTTGTTAAGATTAAAATAATTAAGTACGAAGTTCAATAATATGAGAAGGAGGAACTTTATATTTAGGTTTGCATGACTAAATGCAGAATAAAATTTAATAATGAGAAATATAGTCAAAGTGTTTTGATTTGAATGACTAAAAGTTGAACAAAATTTAATGATAACATATATAAGGAATTTCTTGCTAGTCTATTTAAAGAAGCAAACTGTTGAAGCTATAGTGAGAAAGATTTTTGTTTGAGTTGTCTCGTTAAGACGTTGTTGAAATTCAAATACGCTTATAAGAACTGATCCGCTCTTATCAAAACTCCTAAATTTATTCAAAAACCCTTGAAGAATCATTATCCAACACAACTCCTGACAATGACGATGACATTACTTTTGATATATACCTCTCACAAATATTTAAAAACAATACATATGACTTTTGAAATATTTTTACTAATTGATATAGAATACACGTCTGATACACGAAATGCACTGGCATACACATAACATTGAATCTTACTCATTTCAAATTCTACTTATAGAAATAAAGCTTTTATCATAATTTAATTATTTTTTGAAATAATTTGATCAACAATTAAATTGTGATGTAAAATTTTCTTTCAACTGCTTTATTTTGATCTACCATGAAAATTTTGAGTTTTTAAATGTACAATCATTATTCATTATTGTAGAACATGCTAACCATTCCTAAAAGTCATTTTATATTTATAGTATAAAATGATAGATATATGATATGATGTAATATGATGATGATATAAATAATATTTTATAATTATTATTAATATTTAATTAAATATATATTTCATAATATATATTTTTTATTTGTTTGTATGTTTATCTTATCCACCAATATTTAAAGATACAATAAACAGAGTGGCAAAAACAGTATCATTAATATTTTTCTTAGGTGATAGACAAAAGTACTAACTTTTTTTCTTATTCCCTTAGCAGCCACAAAAGAAATACTAATATTTTTCATATATCCTTAGATAGGCGGGTTGAATTAAAATTGAGCGGATTGAAATAAATTGATATATATCAAGTAATAATAAAAGATGGATTGAATAACAAATAGATTTGGTAAAATACATGTTTGACACATATTTACCTATATTTTTATGAGTAAAAAGTGTTTTACTTTTTTTTTAGGATGAAAAATATTGAATATACTTCATTTAGTTTTATGATTAGTTTTATTGTATCATAAAACTAAACCCCACACTCCAACTTCCGATTTGGGACCCGACTTCCATCTTGGGATTCCACTTCGACTCGGGAACCGACATCCGAATTGATATTCGACACTCGAATCAAGATCCAACCCCAACAACCGACCTGGAACTTATTCGACTCCGACATCCTCGACGACTGATCCGGGACCCACGACACCTAATTTGGGATTTGACCTCGACTCTTGACCCTGAAATCTGACTCCTGACTCGGAACCCGACATTTGAACAAGACTTAATCCTGACCCCGACACTGACACCCGATGACTGATCCAGGACTCGATCCTTAGCAGCCACCAAAGTACTCATTTTTTTCTTATAACCCTAACCATTACTTGCTCTAATTTGTTGTATGAATCCATCTAATTTTGTAAAAGAAATGTGTGCCTGTGACATCCTTTCTAATAAAAACTATATGGTAAGTTAAGAGGAAAAATCACTTTAATTTGATGTTCTCTTGTTATTTAACTAACTCTAAGTTAAAAGGAAAAATCACTTTAATTTGATGTTTTCTTGTTATTTAACTAACTTACTAGAGTTTAATATATGTCAAAAAGTGGATAACTTCATTACTACTGAACTTTAGTTACTAAAATATTCTGTTTTTTTCATATAAAATTGTAAAGCTTTTATGTGCATCATGGCATTATGTTCACATTATTGAGTCCACTAATGTAACTTAGTTTATTCTCACTACATTACATATATAAATCGTTATACTGCAGCACAACTTAAGTCACAAGAATAATTTGAAGCATTGTTCTTAGCCTTTAATACTCGAAAAGTTATGTCGAGTCGTAGTTTGTTCCCCTGCTTTACTGTTCTGTTCTGTGTGATGAGTTTTCTGGCTCCCTTTAGTAACGGTCAGCTTGATTACAGTTACTACGAGAGAACATGTCCGAGCTTGCATAAGATTGTTCGTTGGAATGCTTGGGAAGCTCTCCGTAGTGACTCAAGAATAGCTGCATCCCTCCTTCGTTTGCATTTCCACGATTGTTTTGTAAATGTATAGTATTAAAGTACAACTTTTCTTATTTCGTTTGTTTGATAATCATTTTCATGATCAATTTATGGTTTATGATTTCGATAGGGTTGTGATGGATCTGTGCTGCTTGATGACACGTTCTATTTCAAGGGTGAGAAGAATGCTGCACCAAACCGCAATTCAGTCAGAGGATATGAGACAATTGATATCATAAAAGCACACGTTGAAAGAGCTTGCCCGTCAACTGTATCTTGTGTCGATATTTTAACTCTTGCCGCTAGAGAAGTGGTTGTCATGGTACCATTTACGCGCAGACAGATGAGTACTACTTAAAAGTATTGTAATACAGACAGATAAAATTTTCCTTTCGTGCTTTACAGGCAGGAGGACCGTTTTGGCCTGTTTTACTTGGTCGACGAGATGGACTATCTGCTAGTGAGGAAGCAGCAAATGAACAATTACCTTCGCCATTTGAGCCTCTGGATAAAATCGCGGCCAAGTTTACTGATAAAGGTCTTGATCTAAAAGATTTAGTAGTTCTTTCAGGTATATATATATATATCTTTCGAATTTAGAGATTCAAGCATTCTTTTTTTAATGAAATTTCTGACTCTACGACGTATACAGGAGCGCATACAATTGGCTTTGCTCAATGTTTCACATTCAAGGAGAGACTTTTCAACTATCAAGACTCAGGAAAGCCAGATCCAAATCTCGATTCTTCAATGTTATCGAACTTACAATGCACTTGTCCTGACACAGATGAATCTAACACCACACTTACTCCTTTAGACATGCAATCTGTCACGAGATTTGACAATGCCTATTACAGAAACCTTATGAACAACTCAGGACTACTTGAATCAGATCAAGTTTTAATGTCGAATTCTCAGACAGCTGATATGGTCAAATCCTACAGCTTGTACCCTCATCTTTTCTACGAAGATTTTGCTGCGTCGATGGTAAAATTAGGAAATTTAGGGGTCCTCACGGGACGAACTGGACAAATTAGGGAAGTATGTGGCTCTGTGAGTAATAGAATGTTTCTGTCAAGTATGTTTAGTTTAAGTGTTAGACAGAGTTTATCGACTGTGCTTGCTTCAGTATGTATGTTTTTACTAGTAATAGTTTAACTCGATATCAAATCATTTCGTCCAAGTAGTGGTTACTACTCATTTTAAGTCAAAAATAAATGAATCGAGGGCCGGTAATATGTTAATATGGTGAAGCTTTGGTGTATGGTAATGTTAAACTATCTAACAATATTGTACATTATGATTAAATTTTGGTGTACAATATGCACTACAATACGAAATGCATAAGCATAATTAAGATATACACACCATAGTTTAACCAAGTATCTTCCAATCGTTTTATATAATCAAAATTAATTAAAATTTGTGTATGAAACAACATACAAAGTGTTCATACAAGCAATATTTTTCATATCAGTGACAACTTCGGCAGTTATATAGTGAAATGCAACTTGTATAGGAAAATGGAGGAAAGCAAAATCTAAGTCGAAGGAACAAAATTTTAGGCCATCCCAGAGGTAACGAAAACCTGCTTCGAACATTTCAAGAACCATTTTCCTGACGAGATGATCTGTGGTGCCGCTCTTTTTTGAAACGCAATTGCTCTGGGTCAAAACCACCTTCCTCAGCTCCATAGACAGCCCAAGATGGTGTAGGTGTCATGTAATCTTTACTTGTAAAGGGTTTCCCAGAAGCTACCTGTAGCGCGCCATGGGATTAAAAAACATTGATTACGCTATTGAAATGGGAAGGGTATGCTTATAATTTACGTGCTGAGGTATGAACAAGAGAAGTAACCAACCAGATCATGGAACTTCTCGTAGTCTATCCACGTGAACCATTGACCGTCTATTTTGAACTTAGCGACTTTAGCCAGAAGAACACAGCAGGAATGCACATGCTCACAGGCAACCTCATACTCTCCGTTGCTCTTTTTAGCCAAGGCTTCAGAGAATTCCTTCACATCAGAATGCCAAGGGACATTCTCCATTGTCAACTTTGATGTAGCCGACCTGTGTCAAACCTCCCTGATTGCTTAACTGAACTTTGAAATCGGATAAACTAGTAGAAGAGAAGAGGGAGGGGAAAGGAAAAAAGTGAGGGGGAGGGGGAAAACTTACGTTCCACAATAAGTGACACCTTTGATTTCAATGAAATCGGGTTTCCCAATGCTGAATAGGCTAGAATATGCATCCACATCTTCTGTGTTCCACCCTTTAACGAGTGTCAAACGATAGACAGTTCTTTGCTCCTTCTCCTTAAGAGCTCTCAAAGAATCCTAATGAAATCCGAATAGCACAATCCAATAATTAGCCAGTCTGAATGGTAGCATACAAATATGAAAAAACAGAGAAAACATGGCAAATTTCGATTTAGTTTCCCGTGGCCGCCGAATCTTTTTTAGCACTGATGTAAAGGTAAGAATTTACAGCTTTCCTCTCACTGATATATTATAAATATCAGTTTGAGACACGCTGCTATGGTTTACTAGTGTGCAGCTAACAACCCTAACTGTGTTTTTGGACTCTATTTTCCCATTCCTTTGTGCCATCCATTGATGGATTTTCCTTAATTTCTTAGCTTGAATCTGACAAATATCTTATATTCAAGACACTTACAAGAAATCGCTCCCAGAAGTCTCCAAATAGTGGTCTGTCAATTGCTTTTAAGCTGTCCTTTGTACCTGCATCTACGCTGACATACAACTGTAAATTTAAAGATGAAGCGAGATTTAGATTCAGAATTTGGATATCAACATACTTCATTGATAAAGAAAGAAGAATAAAGCCTAGTAGACCTGTGTGATTGGTTTCAATAACTTAATCTTGTCAGGGAACTGTGCATTAGTAACAAGAAAAGTCGAAATCCGCCTCCTGTGCAGCTCATCTACAAGTGAATTTATTTCTGGATACATAATAGGCTCACCAACCAGTGACAAAGCACAATGCCTAGGAGAAAGACCCTCAGACAAACGCTCAGCTTTAACACCTGCAAGGGTGAGATATTCGGTCTTAACCACTACAAGCAAGAAAGTGGAAGGACGTCTATTTTTTAAAAAATAAAGAAAATGCATATGTACGGTGGATAGGACATCAATTTTATCCAGACAGATTAAAAAAATTGTGAAAATTCTGTATCCACTTCTACATTTCATGCGAATGGGTAAGAAAATGGAGAACCAACAGTTAGCAGTATCAGTTTTACCATTTTTTATTCGGAAATCGGAAGGACATTGCATCAAAATTAAACACAACTCAACCCAAGGTACTTTTTCTTGAACGGACACAACAAAATGACCAAACAGAGACATATTGAATACAGTCACCAAATGATTTCAATCAAACACATTATTTCTAATGTGGCATTGCTCAACTTTCCTACAAGTTCATGCGGAAACATATATGTTCAAGTGTATCAGAAAACAAACCTGGAACGCCTTTCATCTGTTTTATCATTTTGGTATGCAAATCTATAGCTGTGTTCACAATCTCAATAGGATCATCCATCTTCCATGTCCAGCTCTTCCCAACAGGATTTGTGTGATGTCTCCAACAAAAAACACATTTGTTTGCACATGCTAAACTAGGAGTGGCCTCCATGCACCTATGCAGTGGTTAAATGCAAATCCAGATTTAAAATCAGCATACATGGTTAGGAAGTCAATAAATATCAAGCCTACTTAATGATGCACAAAAGGTCAATGCAATAGAACCTTTTCTTGTTAGCTCATGATCTATTAAGTTATGTTGCTCGGACTCTTCAAACATAGATAGTACATACTAAAAGTCTAGAACTTGAATGAGAAAAAAAAAAGAGAACAAAAGTCAAAACAAAGGTAGAAGTGACTCAAGTCTGAAGAAGAAAAGAAGAAATATGTATTGGTTAGACTTTGGAGTCACCAGAGGAGTGGTCGAAAATCCTAAAATTACCATTTAACTTTTAAAACCCTAAATTGGTCGCCTTTTTTTAAGAAATACAAAAGGTGACACCTTTCTAGCCTTTATCACCTCTTGCCTCAAGCCTTTTGTCGTCATGGCGTCGCCTTTTGAAGATCGCCTCGCCACAAAGCTAAAAGGCGATGAAGGTTAGCTTCGCCTCTTGCCATTGGCGACGAGGCGATCGCCTTTTACAACATGGGTGTGTGTTGGATCATTCAAAAACAGTACAATTTTGAAGCATCCAATGGCAAAATTTTTGGAGAATCCGAGCAACATAACTATTTAGGCAGTAGACAAGTATAGGAACTAACTCTCTTTTGAACTTACTGAACTTGATACCCATCAATGAATCCCTTTACTTATTTCTTCTTAAAAAAGCTATAAAAGCTTGATTACTTTTGTAATCTCTTCAGACGGTTCAATTGGCTACGTAATAGGAGATTTTCCACTGAGGGCCTATTTGAACACAATAAAAATTCCAGCTCATTTCTAGTTGTTCATTGTGTAAAATGGAAAGTTTCCGTACTATTCTACTCCTACTCCATATCACATGCCTCTAAAAACAGATCCTTCTTCTGGATAAGCACATGCAAATTCTTATTCACCGCATACTTGATCAACTCTAAGAATTCTAGCAGCCTAAAAAACTTCCAAACAACTGGACCTCATCACAGTTGCAACTTGAACACATAGAATTTTAAAAACTCAAATACAATTATGTCAACCAAGGATTAAAGAAGGACTACACAACTCATAGATAGAATGCAATAGTAAAAATGTAAAAGTTATAAATAGCCGTCTGTGCTGGAAGAAAAACAAACAATCACCTGTGACTCTCAATGCCATAAAATGAGTGCTTATAGCAACCTCCGCGCCCTCTAAGTTGTGATTTTGTCCATCTACAAAGTTTCACACCGCTATGCGTGCCAATTATTTTATATCCCTGCAATTTATCACCAAATAAACTACCTTACCATAAATCCAACTAATTAATTTGATACAACAAAAGTTCGTCATTTGACCACGATACCTGTTTCTCCAAACTCGCTCTAATAACTGGAGTTACCATTGCCTTCTCTCCATTCACAGTTCCACCATTCGACTTCCCATTAACGAACTTATCGTTAACTCCTTTCTTTCTTGAAGGTCCTTTACCCGCAATATCCTCAAGATCAACAATTCCTGACTCCTCATCATTTTCTTCAAACTCGTCATCATATTCCCCATCATCATCTCCCTCACTCACAGCTTCATCTTCACTACCACCACCAACTCCATTCCTCATATCCCCTCCATTCTCGCCCAAATTACTCAAAATCCCAACAATCCTCTTGCTCCACTTACCAAAAACCTCATTCAAACTACCCTCATCTACATCACCTTCACACACCTCTAAAACCTCAACCCCACCAAGTTTCTTCAACTTCTTCGAAAAATCACGACCCACAGCATTAAATGTTTCACCATAAGACCCACTCCCAACTCCAAAGATTGCAAATTTACACTTGCTAAGCAACAAAGATCCAACCCTGAAATCATCAGCACTCTCAGTTAACCAATCAACAAAAAACCCCGCATTTGGAGGTGGTTTCCCGTCTTCCCACGTAGAAGCTACAATAACTACAAAGCTTTCTTTATGCAAATCCTCAGGCTCATACTCTTTCGGGTCAACTAGATCGAATTCAAACCCGTTAAGGTTTAACAAACTATGAAGACTCTTTGCTAGGGTTTTAGAAGTGCCTGTTTGGGATATAAAGAAGATTTTGCCTCTTGGGGTTTTAGAAATAGGGTTATGGGAAATGGGTTTTAAGGATTTGAGGCGTTTGGATAGATGACGGCGTGATTTGTAGAAGAAGAAGACTGTGGTGGCGGAGAGGAGCGTGAGGATGGCGAAGCGCGTGGGGTAAGAAGAAAGTGATAGGGACATGATGGGTATTTTAGGATTTGTTGTTACAGGGTTTGATCTTCAGCTACTATAATATTGTTACATCTTCAAGAGAAAGCTTTGAGCTTTGATCTCAGTGCATCAATGGCGGCAAATGCTTAGGGCTGAAAAATTCTCTCTTTTGTAGGTTCAAAATAGTCTCTTATTAAAATTTGTCCAAAAATAATATTTTTAATTAATGTTCAATGTTACTCTAAATGTTTATCAATTATCAAAAATCATTTTTTAGGTTTACAAAAACTATAAACTTCTTTATATCATCAATAATAAAAAAGTATAGTGTCAAACTCTCAAATAACATAATGATAGTGAAATTTTAAAAATTTTCTTTTCATAACTCGCAACAGAGAAAATTTGAAAAGTTAGTTAAGATGAATAAAAATAGAGATAAAGATACGCTTAAAAAGTATTAATATCATAGATCGATATTTCTATACTATCTTTCTTTTTAGTGAATCGAAATATAGTGCATAGGTATTCTTTGATGAAGCAGAAATGAGATGACGCCACATATTACGATCATATATATATAAGTTTTGTTCTTCATTTTGGTAATATGAAACTTCTATAACAACTTTTATTTTTTTATGAGGTCTTATCAAGATAGGTAGATACAAATCTTTTCCTTTTCCCTCCCTTCATAAGACCCTATTTCTCTTTTTCCTCTCGAGAAAGAAGATAAGAAATGATTCACTTTTGTATTTCATGTAAATAGGAGTTGATTATACGATATGATACATTTGCGAACTGCAGCTTGGTGATGATATGACCGTATATAAAAGTATTTGAAAATCCACAAATAAAGTAGACAACGATCAACATTATTTAATTTTTCTATTATGTCATTATTATTCTACTATTACCATTCTATTACTATTCGATTTTATTATTACTAGTTGTTTTCTTTGTTTCAACTGTCATGTTATTTGTTGTTGTTATTATTCCTTTCTCTGCCACGTTATACACTATTTCTTCACTACTAATTTTCTTCTAGTGATTTTGATATGTTTTACTTGAATCGATTGTCTGTTGAAACCATCTCTCTACGTTCATAACATATAACCGTTGTATCTTCATAATACAAAGGTGCGTTTACACACTTTATTTTCGTTAGACTCTACTTATGAAATTTCTTCGTTTTTTTCTTTCCACTCGACTTATGAAAATTCTCCAATATTTTAATATGTTGTATATAAAAATCGAACCAAAATAATAAGAATCTAAACAAAACCATTTGGTACACTTATCACAAGAATCGAAAACCAAAAAAATTAAATCAAAATCGAATCGAATTATATGTGTTGGGTAATTACACTTAAATCCAGTTAGGGTTTAAAGAAAATAAATTACTCAATTTAAAAATTTGGGGGGCCTTTGTAAAATCTTGGCTTTCACCGTTTTTGTATAACTTGAAGCTTTGGCACTAAACCCATCAGCATTCTTCCCCGAAAAAAGTTCCTTCAAAAACCCTACCTGTAAAACCCATCTAACCCAGAAGGTAATTGCAAGCTCTCAACAAGGAGAACTCGGTAAGGGTTCGATTCGTTTTCGTCTTTTTTTACTTTCATCAAATCTCTGTATTAAACCTAGAATCTGTATCTTGCCGTCTGTTGCATTTTTCAAACCAAATTGATATTCCCATTTATAAAAATTCATTTTTTCATCCATGTTATATATATTGAATTTCTACGGTATAAATCGAATGGGTAGGTTGAGAACTGAGATGCTTTGTTACTGATTGGAGAATCAATTGAGGCTTGCTCAAGTGGTTGAGCACCTCCACCATCCCTAGGTAATTGAGGGTTCGAGTTACTTGGGAGAGTAAGTTAGAACACTGTTGATACTCCGTCAGTGGAGTGGGGAAACAAATCAGTTAGTCATGTTATAGAGATATTTATGACCTGTAACTCTTTGCTGTAAAAGGTAGTGTCTTTGCTGTGATTCTTTTGGTGATGTAGAGGAATAATATTTCATTAATCTCGTGCAGGTTTTTCTCTAATTCAATGGAGCTAGAGGATAGCATTTTAAACTTCTCTGATGAAGACGAGAGCTTTGAGGATGATGAAGATGTTAAAATGAATGATATTGAGGAAGGAGAACTAGTTGAGAAGATCTCCAAGACTGGATTAGAGGAAACTGGTGATGTATGTGCCAGCTCTGAAAATCCTCTTCCAGGTAAAAAAAATCGGAGACGGAGGAAGAACAAGGGAAAGAACAAAAGCAAGAGAGTTTCTTCAGGTCCAATCACAGACATTAACAGGTTTGTTATGCTAATCATAGTTGTTATATCATGATTACCCAGTGCATACTATTTTTATTTCTATGGTGAAAGCAGTATTGTGCGTGGACTCGGGGCATACAGTTGGATATAGTTAACAAGATGATTGCCTTAGTGTAATCAAGGGAAGATGACTGATGCATAGGTTTATTTGCTTTGTTAATTTTACTATATGTCCCAGTTAATATTCGTTCCTTTGGTTTGCGAAGTGATCTCATGGAATTTTGTATTGCTATCTACAACTCTGTCGCTGTTGTGTCAAAGGTTAACACTTTGGTCTAAGTTGCTTCAATTTGTATACCCTTGTCTGTTACACGAATTTGCATCTTTTTCTCTGTTGTATTAGGCTCTGAATTTTCTGTCTTTGAAATTTTTGACTTTAGATTTGTTTTGGATGTCGGAAGACGCTTGAAAGAGAGGAAATCTTATCTTATATGGAATGCTGTTGGTTGTCTCGGCCTATCTGCTTTGAGTGATCTTGTTAAAGAGGTATGCCTTTTGTTCTGCACGCTTGTTTTCTTGAAGGATGATTTTTGCTTGTCAAATTCCTTGATGGCTTTACTGATAAGCTTAATTTTGTATTTAGACAGTAGTGTTGGCATAACTTCACCAAAATGCCCCCAACCCAAATAAACTTAATGAATAAGTTGGTCTTTTTGTAGCACAGACCCACAGATTCGAATTTTTGAGTTGGTAAGGTCATAGATGACAAATCAATTTCACTTTTTAAAGTTACCCTTATCTAAGAAAAAAACAAAAAACAAATCAACTTCACTTCTGTTTGGAGTAATACTTGTGTTTATCAGGATAACTATCTTATGAATAGCAACATTACTATTTATTTCCAATGCAAATGATTTTTACTGTCTTGGAAGGCATTGCATTCTCGATGGGGAGCGTGAAATTTAAACCAAATACCTTTATTAGCCTCAGAACCACTTGCCATCCCCTAGTTCATATTCGCTAAAGCTCATGGGCCTTCCATCTCCATGTTGGTGCCAATAACATTGATCTTCTCTTTATTTTCTTGTTACCAGAGATTGGGCATTCTAGAATTATTTACCCCTTGGTTTTGGCTAGATTGAGAATTATTCAGTGATTGCTAAGAGGTAAAGGATGGGCCTAACTCTTAACACGATTTCTTTAAGGTCTAATATTTTTTGTAGTTTCTGATGCTCAATGTTGTAATACACTCACAGATGCCTCCTGGTGAAGCCTTTTTCACTCCTTTCAGTCTCATGGACCTTTCTTCCAAGATAGCTTCTGCCGGAACTACTTTGTGGTGTCTATTTGGATTGATTCCAATGTTTTTGCCTGTCTTTGTTGTTTTACCCCATGGTATGCACATAACAATGCAATATGCTGAAATTTTGCATCTTTTTCCTGTTTCTTTTTTTCCTTTTTGTTTTTTTTTTCTTATGGGAATCAGAGGGTTGATTGAGAAGTAGAGAAAGTATTTTAGAAAGTAAGTGGGAACAATAGGAGCTCTGAGTTTAAGTAGTGAAAATTATTTGTGTATTAATTTGACAAATAATGGGCATTTTGTGTTTCCCCCAAGTTAGCTAGAACCTCTTGCTTGCTGCCTCTCCTCTTCTTCTCTTTTTCCCTTTTCCTCGAGGGAGATATTGCTTGTTTGAACCCATTTTATATGATTTTTGAGTTCTCCAATTATGAGTCAGCTGATGATGATGTTGTAAACTTTAAAGGTGGATGCAATTCAGACTTGTGGCGGCCAGAAGACTGCTGATGGCAGGCGTTTCCGAACAGGTGGTGGAATATTGTGGAGCATCCTTAAAGTACGAGATCCAAATGCATACAAAGAGATAATGAAGAAAGGGAAGGAGTTTGAGGTGGGTCATTATTCTTACGCATTATTAGTACTTATTTATCCCCAGTGCATCTGGCAGTTTTATTGCTCAACCTGGAAACTAGGTAGTTACCATCATTGATCATGAATTTTCCATTGTTGGGATCAGTAAGCATGAAGGTAATTGACAATGCTGAAGGTTTTTGTTCTATCTCAAAACAAACGAGAAAAATTAAAGCAGGTTAACCTTAAAAAAAGGAAAGAACCTTTAGTGAAGGCCTTATGGAGGTGCTTTTGTATATAATTTATTTTGACTGTGCATTGCAGTATTCATTGCAAGACAAATATAATGCTATTACCCACGTATATTTTCTCATTGCTCCGTTGAGATGCCCTAAATTTTGCGCTGTCTATTTGGATGTGTTAAAATTTTGAATTTCAAGTGATTATCTTACTGTGGATCATTTTCTCAAAATCAAAATGCATATTATTGGGTAAAATCCCCTATCCCTTGGGTAGCCACGGTCATTTCTAGTTGCGAGGACAATACTCTCCCATCAAAATTGTGAATCTCTGTTTGCTGATTGTTATTTTTCTTAAGACTAATTCCAACTTAGTATGCTGTGTATCCTAAACAATTGCATTCATAATTTGAACTGTTGATCTGCTAGTTGCTATTTTCCTTCCAGTGCTCATTAAGAACTTAATCTTGCAGAAGCAGTTTAGGCAGGCTAATCTCAAGCAAGAACCCCTCCAAAACAAAGAAGCTTCTTTGGAGAGATCTAGTCAGACAATAGGAGACGAGATTACAGCCAGTTGTTCAGATGTTTTGCTGCAGCAAGAACCTGTTGAACAGTCTAATAGTGGAGCCAAACGTGCATCTGTTCATGATAGAATAAGGATGCCTGTCACGTATGATGATCTATTCGATGAAGCAACTGACGAAGGAAAGGATTCAAAGGATCCGTTGGCTTTAATAATGCCTTTGGAGAAAAGCTCATATGATGTGGTGGAGGGAGGGTATCCTAAAGGTATATAAAGTTTGCGCGAGTTACAAATTACATTCAGCTAAGACTAGGGGATTTGAGAAATTGAATCAACTAAAATTTTGCAATCTTTTTCAGGATAGAAGAGAAGCAAATTATATTGCTTGCTAGCCTCTATAGATGGATTGTGTTTTGTCTGTAAATTCTTTTGAATGAAACTAAGCTAAATCATGGCCATAGTTATGAAGTTTTTAACTGGTGCCTAGAGTTTCTGGATGTTTTGATACCCAAAATAATGATAAGGTGAAAAAATGTTCAATTATTTTGTGATTTTACCATCAGATTTGTGATTAACCCTGGCTAAAAAGATGAAAAAATTACATAAATATAATGTCATAATCTCTAATTTCCGATTGACTAGTTTAAGATTTGACTGGAAAATAATGCTAGTAAATGATTACTATCTTTTCTTCTTTTTTTTTTTCGGGTTGGAAAAATTAATAACTCTTTCCTTTTATTAAAAGTGGATATTTATTTTTAGTATATAGAGGTTAATAAAATGATTTGTTTTAATCGGAGATTCTATGCGGACTTCGAACAAATAAATATGGCAACTGATTTGATGGATAGGAATGGGGAATTCTCTTCCTTGTCTATTTAAGGAAGCAAAATTGCTTCAATTCCTCAATCATAGTTTGATGGATGATTGTGTAGCTATTTTTCGTGAGGATATAGTGACAGATTTTATTGAGGTGTCTTGTCGAATCGTTGTTGCGATGTAAATGTGTCTCCACGAATGGATTTGCGCATCACCAAATGCTGCCCCATCTTGCAAGCGCGAATATTGAAATCCAAGACGTCTTGTCTTGTTGAACGATATCAGGGGTTTTGATAAGGACGTATCAGTCTTGCAGACACATTTGAATCGCAATAACGATTTAACTGGACATCTCAACAAAATATCATTTACTATATCCTCAGAAAAATTATTTACATAATCATTCATCAAACTATGATTAGGGAAAGCCAAGAAATTTGATTCAACAGAAGCTATATAGACAAAGGAAGAAAGTTCCTCATTTCTATTCTTCAGATCTGTTATTAAAAATAAATCATTTGATATACTAAAAATAAAATGTTCGCTTTTTGAAAAAAACAAAAGAAAAGAATTACTTTTTTATACTCATTAACTAATTTCCTTACCCTCTTTTCTTCCCTAAAATCGTACTAAGGTGTTTTATACTCATAAATTTTAAGAAATTGAATTTAACAATTAATCTTAAAATTGAATTTAACAAGTAATTAGTTGGATTATTTTGTGGGTTTATTTTAAGGTAGTTTATTTTGTGATGAAATTGCAGGGATATAAAATAATATTGGTTTGTTTTTCTTTTCCACTGCATATGATTGTTTATAACCCACTTATAATAACATATGATAAACTACCTAAAAAGTACTATAAGTCATAATTCAAAATGTTAAAAGGATCTTACGTTTGGTGTTTGAATCTCGAAATGCGAAAAAATTGCCACATAAAATCGGACGGACGGAGGGAGTACTATATACCCTACCCTTCCCTTCCCTTCCCTTCATCAGTAAATATTAAATAATTCAATATAAATAGACATTGTATAAGGTAAGTTAGAGAAAGCAGAATATTGCACACTAATTGTTGGAAAATACTTTCCTTTCAGAGATGATCCAACAATGAATTAAATCTTTGTATACATTTCCGAACTCAATACTCACAACGTCTAAATTCTGGATCCACGACAATTTCTTTTGCAATATGTGAACAGGGAACACAATTGTTGGCAAGAATGGCACTGTGTATAGATAACCAGCAGGAAAATGACTGGAATCTGTAGTCCAAATAATCAGATGACTTGCTTCTAAGCATTCATCAAGGTCTCCACATTGTCTTCTGAGCACAAAGGATGCCTTCCTTATCTTTGGCAAAAGTCATTCGTATCTCCCAGTGCAAGCTTCTCAATATTTTCTCTAATGGATCAAGTATTTCGACCTTGTCACGTATGATTCCCCAGCCACCAGGCCGTAATATACGGTCCATCTCAACCACAATCACAATGGGATGCTTGCACCTGCAGTGAATGAACCACTTAATTAGCTATGAAGAAAATTTGAAGTCTGGAAATGGAAAGTTTCAAACTTTACAGACCACCTCCAGAGGTCGGAAGAAGATTTTTCAAAACCCTTGCTGAAAGGGGGTATGGGGGAAAACAAGGGAATATAGCCCAAAAAGAGGTGGAAACTGTTCGTTCTTATACACACCGACTGGATTAATAATACTCGAAAAGGGACTATGAGTCACCTTTTTAAAGCAATATTCTTTCTTTTTTTTCAGATAGAAGAATGATCATATAAGTAGACCTGAACTGAACAAGTACATCCGACTTTTCGTTTTGATTCATAATCAAGAAAGACAGGATCATGCATATGTTTTATGAGGGGAAAACTGAAACAGAGGAGCAAATAAAGGAGAAAAGGTCATGTAACCTGTTCTTAAGCCTTGAGAAGAGATGATCTGCATGTAGAAGGTCGTATGATCTTGGATAAGTACCAAAAGCCTCACACCAATCGTGGTACACGCCAATAAGTCCTCTTTCAAAGACTACGGGAAGGGTGTTTGGTGCATGTACAGGAATAACATTCATCACCCACACCTTCTGCTGTGCAAGAGCTGCTGCAAATCTGTGTATATTTTTCTCAGTTGCCGAGGCACAATATTACAATTAAAAGAAGAGGGAGAGCCAATAACATTTTAATGTTTGAGCCTCTAACATCAGATTAACCAAAGCTAGGGGCTTACCCTCCATTGATGGCTTTCATATCCATTACATTCCGAATGTTGGACCATTCAATACCCAAGCCAACTAAATAAGAATGGTCAACAATAGCTTTCCAGTGCTCACTGTCTGCGATCAATTTCTCTCTATTGTTCATCCATTCGGGATAAGTTTCAAGTCTCTTAGGCCACTCCTCAGGCCATTCGGTTCCTCTTTGTTCTATGGATTCAGGAATTGTGTGCAAGCAAGATTTAATCGGCACATACCTGTTGCAGACAAGGTAATTGGAATTTATCATAAATCATGCTTATTCTACCACTTCTGAGAGAAGTGTAGCTTATTTGTGTGATGACATACAATGATGGAGTTGTGCACTTATTTTCCCAAGATTACTCGCACATGCACAGTAGCGGAAGTATGTGTAAAGGAAATGCAAATTGACCGAAAAGAGAACAAGTATAACAACACAAGCTTTTCCAACTCACCAGGATGCATCTGGGTTCTCATTTGCTTTGCATAGAGGTGGAACTTTTTTCCTTCTCAATTGGTATATCTCATTTGCTTGTGGTTTTTGGTATAACTTAATCCTGATATCACTGATTTCATCAGTTTTATCAGCGAGGATGTTCCAACAGATTGATGCTGTCAACGTGGACATACCTGGAGAAGAAGGTTGATTTTATGAGCATGAGTACTTCACATAAAAGGCATTCGAAAATACATGCTGAAAAGAAAAGTAAAGCACGCAAAATTAAATATCTTAAAAAGGATTAAATCAAAATGATAGCTCGTCTTTCAAGTTTCACAAAGGAAAATGACTTGATAACAATGCAAGACAATTTCAAGCTACAAGCCAAAAAATGATCCATCCATCCATCCAAATCAAGAGCTTCTTTAGTAAAAATAACATGAATTCTGTAGCAGATCATTTGGGAGTGTATGAGAATATCAGATAGTCCTTATTAGCAAGAACAAGAAGCTTGACATTGACTGAGAAATTACAAGGGATGATTTTGTTATATCCATGACAGTGGAGGGCAAGTGTCCACTGCTGAATGTTTTTTCTGTAGGAAGATAAGGTCCGCTAAAGGAATTGTCATCGTTCAGGAAAATATTTATTCATTAGACTAAAACGTGCAAAAGTGTAAAAAATAGCTAGTTTCATCAAAGAAAGAAGAAAAACAGAAGCCGTTTTCCTTCAACATAACTAGAGGACAAACCTTCTTCAACTTCAATGCTACTGTGCGTTGAAGACAAAATAAAATAACCTCCAGGCCTCAAAATTCTGTTCATCTCTATAAGATGCTTTCCCCCTGAAAGTAAACTTAATTAAATCTCCTGATATCACAGAAAAAGAAATCTCTGGCAATAACTTAACACTAACCATTAGAATGCCAAGATGCATGGCAATCATTACAGTGAATAGCATCAAAGACACCACTAGGAAAGGGAAGCCTCCGAGTTCCGAAAGGGGTAACTACTGCTGGAAAACCACGCTCAAGTGCAACTTGTGCTAGATCCACAAGGTCATCTTTTAAGCCTAGAGTAAGTGTTAACACATCTTTTTCAAGTAGAGAAGCCCCAAAGCTTGAATCTTCACATCCAATATCCAGCACAACACGGATATTCTTCCCCCATTCAATGTCTGGTACCATCTACCAATCTCCAATATCAATTCACACATCAAACACAAGGAGAGACTTTGCAAGTAGCATTCAACTGACAACTCAATAAGTAAATAATCATACTATAGGTAGCAGTATTATTTCAAATCAGCCAGGCATACACCTAGTGTTTGAATCTAGCAACTTCAGTTAGAGAAAGATAATTAACAAGGAGTTCACCAATTTCAAATCAACTACAACCAGAAATTGCACCAGCATTACTGTGTGGTGAAGACAAGTCATCTTTCATCTTCTCTACAAAGGAAGAGATCATAATACAAGAGTAAAGCAGCTCAAGATGCTTCGTGTGTCAGGAGAATGCAGAAAATAATAGCCATCTATTTTTACATTACTGATCAGCTTTGACAGATTTTCAAGCATGACTGGTTTGAATTAACTCATGCCAGAGTCCACAATTGAATTAGTGAAATGCTGAAAAATTTGGGATGTAGGGGAAAGCAGAAGAAATGGTGGAACTCCACCCCAGCTTGTATATGGTCCACTATATGGGAAGTGAGAAATGCTAGGTAATCTTTTAAGACAATAGTAACTCTACACAGAGAATTAAGATGGACAGTTTATAGTCTTTGTATTTTGATGCAAAGGAAATATATACATATGAGTTATGAAGATTCATAGACAATCCTTAGACCTTTCAGCACTGCAAATGCTAGAGAAACAAACAAAGAGTCAATAAAAGGGACTCACCTCTTCTATGAAATCTAGGTAGTGTTGAATTCCACCTTTGGGTATAGATTGGTTCGTCGGAAAAATGAGATAATCTCCAGACTCCACCACCCAGCTCTCTTTCTTAACATATACCTCTAGTTTCGGGTGCGCCACATTTTTATAATGTATCTGTAAATATTATGAACTTAATATAAGAAAGAACAGATAAAGCTGAATTTACTGAAGATGAGCTTGATTCTCATACCTTTGACTTACTCTCAGGCCAGCTTACTGGAGTCTCATAACCACCAGGAGGAAGGGGAACAAGACACATTTGAGGTGCTTTAGGACAACTTCTTTCGTGATGCCGATAATTCTGCAACTTTCCACTGGCACTTTCAAAGTCAATGCAAGGAATGTAATTATGCTTGCTCCTAGTGCTACATAAATTCCAAGTATAATGTGCTTTTGGATCAAATAATGGTCCTAAATTCTTGTTCTTCTTCCCATTATCTTTAGCTTTCTCATCCTCATCCTCCACTTTCTCAGCAGCCTCTTGATCCAATTCCTCAGTATTAGCTATTTCACCATTACCTTCATTACCATCTACTGTTCCTTCTCCTTCTCCTTCTCCTTCTTCTTCTTTAGTACTTTCTATTTCCTCTTTCTCATTCTCTTTACCATCCACTCCTTCTCCTTCTTGTTTACTATTATTTTCTGTTTTTTCTTTCTCATTCTCTTTAACTTCAACTACTTTTTTCTCTTCTTCTTGCTTATCATTTCCTATTTTGTCTTCCTCATTCTCCTTCTCCAACACATCAGTTTCAGATCCTTCCAATTCTTGTTCCTTCACCTCATCAACCTTTTCGGGTAACTTCAGATCCTCACCTTTTCTCTTCCTATCAACTCCACTTTTATCATTCTTATGCCAACCACCAGATTTTGAAGGCAAAGAAGACCTATCAACCCTCTTCTTTTTCTCACCAGAACTTGATCTATGTTTCAGTTTCTTATTATGGGGTTGTTCTTTCTTAGTTGAAGGAACTAAAGGTGTAACCTTTTTCCTATTTGCAGATGAAATAGGTTCTCTAATATCATCAAAAGTGTCCCTTTGATAGGCTACTGAATAAGAAGAAGGTGAAAACACAGACCAAATGAATACAAAACAAAGACCCAAAATTACTACTGCAGCTAACTTAACACCAAGACCATAAGATTGATATGAACCTTTTACCTTTCTCCCAAATCTTGTTAAAGCTGTGTTGTGCTTCCTCATTTCTAACTCAAACAAAAACCTGAGACATACCCAGAAATCAGAATTCCATATAAACAACAAAAGCAACAATCTTTTTTTACCCCAAAACAAGAATCTTGGCAGCTCAAGAGAGAATTGACAGTGAAGTGATGTTCTAACTAAAGAAAGTTAAAGTAAAAAGTCAAGATTTATTAGTAGATTTCAAAAAATCTGTTTTTGGAATTTAAGAAGAGCTGTCACTATATATATATATATATATATATATATATATATATATATATATATATATAAAAGAGAGAAAGGAGTCGAAGACGAGAGCTTAGTATATCGAACTGTCTTTTTTAAAGATTTTCAGTTCAAGCTTATTAGTTTTTGGTCCTTGTTTGGATTTGACTATATTATAAAAGGTTGAATTCCCGTAAGAGATTTTACATATCAGAAATTGGCTTTGAATTTTTTGAGATTTTTATGCTCATATTTTCCTACTTCGAAGTTTATTATCAAAATGAGTCATATTATTCGATCCTTATTCAAGTGGACAATAATTCGCATATTTGAATTCTATTGAGAGACTTATTGAAAAATCAATAAAATCTCTCATATGTCTTTATTGGACGTCAAAAACTAAAAATTGAAAATAAAGATGTGTTTATAACATTTTGACTTAATTTACTTTATTTAAGAGTATTAAATTGTTCGTTCCAATTGTATCTTATAGATATAATGCGAAAATTTGTTCAAAATTTTCATTAAGTGTTTACTTTAATCATTTACTATATCTGAAAAGTTTAATAAATGAAGCATTTTGGTAATTATGGCTAACTAAAAAATAATTTGGCGAGAGTTACCCATAAAAATGGTCATTTAAAAATTTCAAATCATGTTAATTACTAATTAGGATAAAAAATCCCACTTATTTCAATAACAAACTCGATGTAACTCCACAAGAGGGTTTTGAAGAATAGTGTGTACGTAAACTTTGCCCCGAGGTACAAGGGGCCTAATAATATTGCAAGAAAATTAAGTTCTTGAGACATAAATAACACACATGATACTGATGAGATTCCACTCAATGAACTCTGTATGTCTGAAAACTCCAGCAATACACTGCATTACAATTTTACAATCCAAACCAAATTTCTTTCTTGTTGAATTTGCAGCCTATTCCTCTGTATATAGGGCTATACTATCTACCCGAATTCGCGCTCTACGGGACCAGTCTAATCTAAGTTTAAACAGTAATACAAAAATACTAGAATTAGGATATGCTAGAATAGAGAAACTATACATTTAACATGTTGCTATACTTGAGGTAGCTATTGAGAAGTCTTAAAAGATAGTGATTGAACAGTCAGAGGGCCTGGAGCAGCTGAGTTGAGGAATTCTGTTCAGCTGAAAAATCTTGTGAAGAATTCATGTTCACCTTTATCCTGAAAAGAGTAAGTTGATGATTACAATCCCATCAGACACACAACTGATCAATTCACAATCTCGTAAAGCGGACAAGCTCTACGAGCACTCCAGCCTCCCGGTCTAATGGGGCTTTAAGCACCGTGGGCTTCAGTAAAAAGAAGGTGCAATGAAGGCGAAATATATATGTAATTCAAGAAAGTAACAGATTCATTCATAATGTTTTCCTCAGCAACTAGTAGTACACTTAATTGTCAATTATATTTTGTTGTTTAGTACCACTCGCCTTCAAGATAGAACTCATGGTCAATGAGGTGTACGCCTTAGTGTTTTGCCTGCACCAAAGCGCACTCCTTCAGCTATTCTGAGACCCAGGGCTTAAACGCGCTTAAATGAGCCTTTGACAAAACTAACCCTTTCTAAGGACAGAGGCAAATATTGTCAAGTGCAAGTGTGCAACAACACCTTCACAATCCCCACAAAGGGGAGAAAACCTTACCACATGCTCAGTCGCTCTCCTTCCCTCCTATTTTCTTTAGGAGGGGCAGCAATAGATTAAGATTGATCTTTAATAGTATTGAAGTAGCATAGAACTAGTTCTTTAGCTAAAAGAGTATTACATGCCAATGCTAGAACAAATTAAGGAGCATAAATGGCACTGCTAGACAGACAATACCTGTTATGAATGTTGACATATTCATCGGTTTCATCCAATATCTCCTCCTGCCATAGAAATGCAAAATGAGAAAGTAATACACAGAGAGGTTTGGATAGATTCTCTAAGAATGATATGGAAGTGCATAAAGAGTAAAAATGTGTTGTACATACTCCTGTCTCTGGGTTGGAGGGGGGGGGGGGGGGAGGGGGGTCTACAATAAAAACAATACCACAAAAAGGAGAAACAAATATTAATGAAAGTCGGAATCTTAAGCACCTGAAGAAGCTCCTCAATGACATCTTCCATAGTAATAACACCAACAACTTCTTGATTGGAAGGGATCTCTGGTATTGGAGTGTTTTCCAAATCCAAAATACAAAATGAGCAACCTTTGTGTCTCTTCTTGAAAGCAGGAGTAGGGGGAGGAGATTTCTTTGGGACTTGGTCATCATCAGCCTTATGTAATGCAGTCTTAATGTCATGCGAGTTAGATTTTGGTGTTGTGCTATCAGCATCTGCAATTATCAGTTCATACAACAATTAAAAGTTGGCCAAATCGTAATTTCACAAATTTAATAGAAAACTGTAATGTTTAATCTCTGAAGATCTGTTTGCTTCATTTCTGAAATAGAGGTAATTACAAGGTATTGAGGACTTGGAGAGAGTTGATCAGAAGCCCATTTAGCACAAAATGAATGAGAAATTAAACTGGATATGCAGACAAAGACGTTTAAGGCTCGCAATAATGTTTTAACAGAAAAACTAGGATAAGTAGCCACGTGGTAGAGCCAAGACTAGTTCAAGGTTTCAGACCTTTATCATTCACTGGCATATCTTTCGTCTCGTTCAGATCTTTATATACAACAGCGATGTGGCTATGGCCCTTCTGAAACTCATTCAAAATGTCATACAGAGGCATGTTTTCAGAAACCCTGAAAAAATACCAATGCTGTACAATTAGCTTAGAATAAGAGCGTTGTATGCTAACTATTATCTTAATTCAGCTGTAAATTTTTTCCTCTACGAATGTGTCACTCATATTACAGTTTGTACAATCAAAACTGCAGATCTATGAAAAGATCGTGGATATCTAGGAAGTACTTCATAATAATCAGAATTCAGAACCTTAGAATTAGTTATTTGGAAGCTACAGGAAGTTATCTTGTGTAGAGAAAGCACAGAAGGATAATTGGATCAGTCAGAAGGCTATAATAGAAGTCTGATAGCCTTCGAGATGATAAACAAATATTGAAATGAAGCTTGGCGTGTAAAACCATGACGCATGAACTATATGAGACGAAATCAACTACTTCCCCTACTCTAGTTAGATGCAGATGAATTCTACAAGTGAAAGGACCATGGTGGAAGACCATGGCACCCTCGGTCAGTTAGTATCAGTAACCTTTAAATTGTTGTGTTTAGAAAAGAGACTACATAGCATCAGCGAATGGATGCTAACCTGTTAAGTTATAAGGTCATAAAGAAACCATGGTACAATAGTGAAGTGCAGAAAACTGTTACAACCCAGGGAGAAACACACCCCGAAAGCTAGTTATTGAAGTGGGGTAGCCCAAGGCTGTGTAAACCCCTACAACCCAGTGAGAACCACACCCCAAAAACTAGTGATTGAGGTGGGGGAACCCAAGGCTATATAAACCCCTAAAACCCAGGGAGAACCACATCCAAAAGCTTTTTATTGAGGTGGGGGAGCTCAAGGCTATATAAGCCCCACCTCAGCACATAGTAGTATCGAATATGGGACTGGACCACAAAAAATCACCATACTCCGCATCCGTCGTCCTTGACATGGTGCGCTAGACAATACTAGTCCTGGGCAAACACTGGAATACTGGTGTCACCATCCAAGGCATGATGGGACGCAACTCAAGGAGAATCACACACCAAAAGCTAGATTTTAAGGTTGGAGAGCCCAAGGCCGGCTATATGAACCCCATCTCAGCACAAAATAGTACTGATATGGGACTGGTCCATCACGAAAACATTGACGCAATCATAATTCAATTGTTTAAATTAGCTTTACTTTCTTTTTCTGAGTATCCCGCAACTGTTGCCCATGAACCAATAAGTTCTGTTTAGGTGAGCTTGGGGCATAGTTAATTGATTGGTTATAAACATAAACATTTCAGAAAGGGAAGAATTGCTGCAGTTATCTTTACCTCGGAATTTTTCTTATCAACATTTTCCTCAGGGGAACTGAATTTTCTTCTGAGTGAACCGCCAAAAGATTTTTAACCTGCCCGCAAAATATTTGACGACACGTAAAGGGAGCATGGAACACAATATCAGTAAGTTACAGATACACATACTTGCAGAAGTAACACAGCAAAAGAAACAAGAACTCTTCATAAATGACGTTGACAATTAAACTTCAACACAATAAGTGAATCCACAACAAGGTAAAAATTGAGTTCAGCATGGAGGAAACATTTATTACCAAAATTAGTCCTATAATATTTGTCGACTTTCTGTAGTAAACAGGAACTCTGCTATGCCCCATTGTCATTATAGCATTTAGTGTTTCCCTGCATGAGAGAGAGAGGGAGATAGACGTGTTATAGAACATAAGAAGTTTATGAAAGCTTGAAATCAAATTGAACAGCAACTTATTAACCCACAAGTTAAGTGTTCCATCCAGATCAAGAGAAAAAGCCTTTGATATTGGAGTCATCGCATCTTTTGCAGTTTTTTCTGTCAACTCCAGTGCTCCAGCAATTATTGTTGTTTCATCATGTGTCAAATCCCCTCCTTTTCCAGCCTGTCATAGCAATAAGAAGCAAACAAGCTGAGGCATACAGAAAAATAAACAGAACGAATTTGGAAACAAGGTTCAGCTATAGCATCTAATCTTAATGAGATGAACTTGTTTGTGTAAGCGACAGTGTTCATGCATATATACAAATATTGCATGTCTAAAGATATTTTACATGTGCTTAGATCAGCAACAAAAATCGAGAACTAGTGAAACATTACCTCATTGCCATGGAAATCCACAAAAGTTTTGAGCTCAGCTCTTCGCAGAAGGGCAGCGTGCCCCTTACCTAACATCCAATCCAAGACCTAAAAGCAAAACCAAGGATGAAGTTAAGATCCCTTTTTCTTTATCAAGCTGATAATAAGATCCTTTTTTCCCAAGCTTACAGAAAGGAAAAGCACATACAAATTAATCGCCAAAGTGTATATGAGTCCAGAACAATCTTATGAGCTATTAGTGGATTCATTAAGTTTTATTTCTTAAGCCCTGTCATTTGACTTGCATCGTGACACAGTGGCAACCAAAATTAAAGCTGGTGAAGCATTTCTCTCTCTGGTAGCAAAACATGGAAACTTAACAGCTCTAAGAAGTAAACTATAGGATGTGATTGTTGTGCTTTATACCTTACTAATTGGATAAGCAATGGGGAAGAATAACCAGAGAAGAAGCTGAACAAGGGGTGCCACAGTAGCTCCAACAGTCAATCCATAGCGAGTACAGATTGCTTGAGGAATTATCTGCAAACATAAAAGCAACAAAGCCTAGTTACAGAACAAGAGACGAGCAAATGCAATAGCTAACAAGCTGAAATATTAAGTTGATGAGTAGAATAGACCACCTCTCCAAACATGAGAATCAGTGTCACAGATACCAGTACAGCTGCCCATGAAGGTACAAGCTTGTCCAAGAAAATTGGAAGAGACTACAAAGGAAAAGGAGAGAAGTAATAAATAAGTAAGCACGGGTAATAAAAGGATAACTATTGCCAAATAAGTACTGGCACACAAACCTCCATTGCTAAAGAGTTGCCGATCAAGAGTGTGCAAAGCAAAAGGTGTTGGTTTTTTACGACTGGAAGTATTTTAGCTGTCAAAGAAAGGAAAAAATCTTTAAGAAGCCGATGCAAGCGAACATTCTACAACTCATATTGCGTCACAACACTGCTTCTTTTCTAACTTATCACAGTATAAGCTTTATTACAACATCAGTGATTATTGCTTCAATTGTAGAATCATGATATGAGAACTGACTTAACTTTCTCATTTGTCCATTCCAGGTATGACAAGAATCATGTACCTCTTTGTCTTAGTTCTTCAACTATTCAATTACCTTGTTCGTGTATATAATCAATACACCATTTCCTTACTTTATGTATCCACAATTTGCATTGCATTTCAACCACAACAAAAGCTACCACATCAAGCTTATTGCTAAACAGTTTATTCAGTTTCCAAGGACAAATTCACTCTCTTTTACTTATTCATGATTTATAACCCTCCTGCATAAATTAAGATTCAACCTTTTTGTTTCTTTCGAAAAATATGTTTTGGGACAGCCAATTCTAAACATTTCATTTACCCATATGAACAATCTTAAAGTAAAAACCTGACTAGTGCATAGAATTAGCAAGAGGAAATATAACTCCAAAAATTGATCATATAGAAAAGTTTACAACTTTACACCAAAGTTACAAAGGTAGCAGGTAGACATTAGTCAATCAAAACTACTCATCAACATTAGCAAACACAGGAAATTCACCAAGCAGTTCATCATCTACAATATACACATAAAAAAGGCTTTTTGACCTTGTATATACCATATGAATTTTTCACAGCCCCTAATTAACTCTACCCCTAGCAAAAATAAAGGATAACACATCAAACTTCCATTAAACACAAACAGATAACTAAAAACCCAAATCAGCAAACTTTAGCTCTTCCTAATAAACCCCAAAGCAGCAATCTTTAGCAGTTTCTAATAAAACCCAAATCAGCAAACTTTAACACTTCCTAATAAAACCCCAAATCATCAATCTTCAACACTTCTAATAAAACCCAAAGCAGCTAACTTTAGCACTTCCTAATAAACCCCAAAGCAGCAAACTTTAGCACTTACTAATATACCCCAACTCATCAATCTTTACCATATTCTTCATAATAAAACTTACAGGCATGACTACGATCTTGTGGACGACCAGATTTGCTGAGAACTTCAAGGTCGACAAGTCCAAGAGACATAAGACCAAGTGTAAGACCAGCCATCAAACCAGCAAACAACACCAATCCTATAATAACCAAAATAAACACAAAAAATTCTGTTCCACAACAAGGCACATCTGCCATTTTCTTTTCCCCAAGTTCAAAGAAAATTTGAAAACTTGGAAAAAGATTTGATTTTTTTTTTTTGGAACTTTAAACTTTTTAGATTTGTTTTTTTATCAAGAACCCAAAATCATTCAAGCTACCTAACTTACAAAATTATTTATACTGATTTTATTATTTTTTCAATTCAAGAACTTTTTGTCTTTTTCTCTCCCCCCATATCTCTTTAAAAATCAATTTATTTAGCATAGGTGCATGACCAATGTGATGAAAAACAATTATTCCCAGAATATTATTGGGATTGACTAATTAAATGAGTAGTCCCTTTGTTTCTTCCGACTGCTAAAAAGCTTTTTTGTTTCTTTATTTTTTGTAACGGTAGATTTATCAGTTACTTCACGCGCTTACTCGCAGTTTATCGAAAATATAATTTTAAATAAAAGTACTAAAAATATGATACACTCACAATTTATACAAGATATGATTCTAATTTCTTCGATAATATTAAGATCCCAAATTAAGATAGAAGATTAGTAAATAATTAAGCGTATTTTAATTTTCTTATTATTATTATTAATATTCTCTTAGTATCGTATTATCGTGTTCCTTCAACTTTACATATTTGTTTATTTTTTTTGCTTCGGTTATCATATTGTTTGTTATCGTTATTATTCATTTCTCTAGTATTTTCTATTTAAGTCAATGATTTATCGAAGATAGTCATTTTATCTTCTTCGAGCAAAGTTATTGGATGTCCACCACATTGATTGTGGTATATCTATTCTGATTTGAACATCAAACATCATAATTATCGATTCATTTCCTTGACTACTAAATACAAGTCCATAAAATAAAATTCTTTCACACTGTCTATTAGAATTCTAGTGTTTCAATTCATTGTTAAAAAATAAATTTTCGCTATACTTGTTATTTGTGATATTAGAGTTTTTGATCTTATATGAGTATTCATATATGTATTGTAACTCGTAAGAATGATACTTAGGCTTAAAGTAAAGTAGAAATATTCTCAATGATTTTTATTTAAGAGTTGTTAATTAATATTTTTAAGATATTTCAAAAGCACGAGCAACTCTTCGAATATGAGATTGATTAGTATCTATAATTTTTTTCTATTACTTCCGCTTATTTATAATATATTAGATATATTATTTTTGTTTAAGCAATTATGAGTTAATCATACTATATTATGTCATATAATATGAAATATAAATATATTCTAAATGCAAGAGCTTCAATATTTCCTTATTAAGATCCAAAAAATATCTTAGTTACTTATCCTTTATTTTAGACAATTTAATAAAAATAAAAACAAAATGTAAAAAGCTGTTTTTGTTAATGAAATAACTGTATGAGTTCTTATAATATTGTACTTGGAATTTAGTGTTTATTTTAATACATATAAAGGTTGCTATTGTAAATATAGTCATTAATCAGTATTATACAGTAGAAATGATAATTAAACTATTAAAGAAGATAAGTATTTTTAACTTTTAATATCGAAATACTTTATTCCATAAAAAAAATAAAGTTTATTTGTTCTTTTTGACTTGTTAATAAATTTTCGTTAATTATCACGTTTTAAATTACACCAAAAAAAAGATTAAAATATCTACTCAGCTTTATACGTTATTCACATGAAATCGCCTAGTGTTTTTAATGAATTTTCATAACCCTTCTATGAAAAATGAGTTGTGTGTTGTTTGAAATGGATATTCGAGGTAAACATATATATAATGAGCACTAAGCTAAGTTAAAACTGGATTTTTCTTCCTCGTAGCGGAGTATTAATTGGTCACTATCAATGTTTTTGATGATAAAATTAAAATTTAATTTACAACATGCTTCAATGGGACCCCAAAAGACTAAACTATTTATGGGCATATGATTCGTATAAATGCGATGTTCTTCTTATTTTATTATAATTAATTATTATACATGATATGTTTGGCACGTAAACATATATCAAATGTGAGCAAGTATTTATTAGGCAGAATTTAGCTGATATTTATATCTTTCAAGCATTTGCATTTATCTTATGTGACATCCTACATGATAATTTTATGTCTTAAATGACGTATTGATGTCTTACATATATTATGTCATGTAGGATGTCTATGTCTACTTGTTTAATTTTATATAAATTTAAATAACTATTGTGCACGTCCAAAGTTGAAAGTCATACGTACCTGCTGAAGTCAAATTTGTGATGTTAAACATGTTATAATATTTGTGTGGTTATTAAATCGTCTAATTAAGAAAATACATAAATGCATCCAAGAGTACGATATAATGTGAAGTGGATAAAGAATCATGATTTCTCGGGTTCAAATTCGAATATAGATAAAAAACTAAAAAATTTATACCACTTATTCAAGCATTGATGGAAATAGTTATCTGATATTCCGTGAAACTAATTGAGGTGTGACAGGATTCAAACGTTAGTATATATGTATAATAAACTATAAATATGAGGTCATGGTGATAGGAGTGCAGATCATGCCAATGCAAAAATGTTAACTTATCATAAGGTGCACATGTTATTGAGAAAAAGACCAAGTAAATTCGTAAGGTTCCAAGAACCTTATCCAAATCAAACATCTAACACCCAACAATGGAGCTATCTCACAATGTACAAAAATAGATAACCTATCAAAGACACATTAAAAAAAAACAATTTTTCCATCTGGCAACCAAAGGCAACAAATAAGTACTTGCTCATAAGTAACAAAAAATAATTGGACCACATCTTTCTTAATAAACCACATATGGTGGATAACATCAAGTGGATACACTGTGCTGACTTCCTAGGCCTATGGTTAATAATATAAATATGTGTTTAATATATACACACACATATAATATATGTATAGATAGATATATAATTGAGCCATAATTAAGGTAGTGGATGTGGATGTGCCAGTTGTTGAGATGTACCTCCTCTTTGATGATGGTGTTAGGTGCATGAACAAAATATCACAATGATAATTGGTACCAAAACTGATGATTCGATAAGACGAGTATAGAGATGACGGAGTGAAATGGGGGCGAGTTACTCCTTTACCCGTTTGCAAGTTGGTTTACTATCCATACCTGCAAACGTATAAGAGGAAGCCCGTGGACCACATCAAATATGACGAGAGAAATAAGCTACATACAATTTATATCGTCAACCAAATACAGTATAAATCTAATTTCATGCTTAATCTTGAATATCCCACCTTATCTAACACACAGACCTCCACGATGGGATAAACTAGTCCAAGAACTAAAATTCCATGACAATGTAGTCCGTGTACGAAATGAATGGTTAAAGGTTTTTTTTGGAGAATATCACATCATGTTAAAAGTATCTTTGAGTTGTTCTCATCCTAACATGTGGGGTTCTTTTTATGCTACTTTTGGATAAAAAAATTGCTAACCTTTTAAAGATATAGTTAAGAGGGGGGAAAGAATCAAAGAGTAGTAGGACAAAGGGATGAAAATTGATGGTAGTCGTGGCCTGCTTCATTACCTTCCTTTAATTTACTTAACACAGAGAATAGCTGGATATGATTGAATAACTTTTCTGAGACATTGGTTGTGTGTGTGGCTGTCTTTCCTTATCCTTAATAACAATTCTTTTTCCTCTACAACAGTACTCTTTTATTTCTGTTGTATATATTGCATGGCTTATCCCTTTAGTTCTTCTCTTCTATTAGTAGTCACTAAAAATCAGTATAATAATGTCTAATCAAGAAAATGGTAGCTTGCCTGATTTTATACTACCTGATTCTTTGTACACTGAAACCATCAGAGAAGTTCATTCAGCTGTCGAACATGATTGGGATTCTTTGAGACAATCAGCATGTCAAACTGCAGCTGGAAGGGCGCTATGGAAACATGTGATCCATGATCCACTAGCTGAGTTACTTGCAGGGGAGACGTACCTGAAAAAATTGTATGAGAAGATTAAGAAAGATATCCTCAACAATGCTAAAGAGATTTCTGGAGTTATCATTGCAGTAAGGACACTATGGTTTGATAAGGGAATTGAAGCAGCTCTTACTTCTTTTGATGGCGGAGGAGCACAAGTTGTCATTCTTGGAGCAGGTAGGTGATGTTCCCAAATGATCTCTTGTGCTGTATATACCCTGTGACACTAAAATGAATGTATATTTAATGACAAATTGACTAGTTTATCTTTGGTAAATAGTAGTCAGTGGGGCGGAGACAGACTTTAGTAAGGGTGTCATTCAGCACTGCTTCGTAACAACAAATTAATGAACTTACTAATCGAATTGTGACAATATACTGATATCACTTATGCATATGCTCATTATTAGTAGTCAGTCACTGAACTGATCAAATGTCCACTCACCCGTTTATGCGACCCCAACTTGTGTGGGACTGAGGCTTAGTTTTTGTATTCTGCAAAGGTTTTCATCTCCCTAGATACATATACCAAACTAAACATTACCAGGATGCAACAATATTCCAGATTTGAATCCCCAAAATACTAGCCATCAACTGCAACATGCTGATGTTGTGAAGTGACATATAGTCTTTCAGTGAAAACACAGTCGTTCCATTTAGGAGCAACTATGACTATGTTTGGATAAAAGATGATAAGCGGAATGTAATTTAATTCCTCTGAGTTATGGGCTCAACATGGAGATTGAACACTGAATGGACATAGATTGTCCACCACAAGAGACTCCTCATATTTCACCTAGCATTTTTATTGCTCACCCCTCGGAAGCTAGTTGATTCCATTTAGCAAAAAATGTTACAGAGTAAACAAATGATGTCTGTTCTTTATCTGCAGGTATGGATACAAGGGCATATCGCTTGAGTTGCTTGAAAGACAGCAACATATTTGAGGTTGATTTTCCAGAGGTCTTGCAGATGAAAACCACTATTGTAGAGGCAGCAGCAGAAACAACAGATGAACAAAAGCACCAACTAATGATGGCAAAATCATTGAACAGAGTGGCAGCGGACCTGAGAGAAAAGAACTGGCTTGAAAAGCTTCAAGAATCAGGCTTAACTCTAAATACGAATACAGTGTGGGTATTAGAGGGAATTCTCTACTATCTTTCTCACTCAAATGCAATGGAAGTACTAAAGATTATAGCAAATAACTGTACCTCTGCTCATACAGTACTCTTAGCGGACTTCATGAACAAGCAATCAACCACAATGTCCAGCTCAAATTTCCATTTCTATAGCGACTATCCTGATGAGTTATTGCCATCACTAGGATTTTCTGATGTTAAACTTTCTCAAATTGGTGACCCAGATGCACATTTCGGGTTGTTGCATGACCCACTAAATTTGTTCAACGAGTTGCGCAACTTGCCCAGGTCACTTCAAACTCACCCAGATGGAACCCCATGTTGTAGGTTGTATTTGCTTCAGGCTTCTGGAGAACCACCAAACAAGACTATTTTGTGAATATTATAAGAATGGTTCACCAATAAAGTCTAACTTGCTGTTAGAGCTTAGAAGCACCTACTCGTTGATTGTTACTGTCATCGTACCACATTAGTTATACTGGCAACAATATCGTTTAAGCTATGACTAGTACACTTTTTATCTTTTCAAGATCTAGGTAACTCTTAAACAAGTTCATCATATTTAGCCCCGTCATACCCCTTTCCAACTTTTAACTTTTGCAAGAGTTAAAAAGAGATAATATAGTACTATTTTACCTTCTTTTAGAGCTTATTGCATTTCTCCATAAAGAAAGTTTTATCTATTTCTGGAAAAAGGAATCTACTTAAAGGAATTAATGCTGATTGCCTGCTTCGGATACTTTCAAGGCTCACACAACAAAAAGAGCGCGAACAGGAGCAGGCATGAACACCTAAATAGATTCATACTTTTTGCGGTTACTTGCCCATTTTTCATATTTACATAGGCAAGTTCACTTGAGCCCGTAAGTACTAGACTTTGATAAATGAATGGAGGTGCAGAGATATTTAATATTAGAAACATAATCGTAGTAGATAATCAAAACCTTCTACCTGAAAGCACTTGTTATAGAAGGGCTTGATCGAAGGACTCAGACAAGAATCATCCCAGGCCTTGTTCCTTCACATGCTTCTAAGGCTTGAATTATATACAAAACACACAATGAAAACGTTCTGTGTGGTATGCTATGTTGCTCAAATCCCCCAAAAATGCTACTGCAACCGTGTCAGATTCTCCAAAAATGGTGTCAGGTGTGACGGCACTTTTGGAAGATCTGAGCAATACAGGCGGTATGGTATGACCAAATGGTGACTAAGAAACAGAGAAGTTTTGTGAGAGTGAACTATTGGCTGCACGAAAAGCATGTTCTTTGCATAGTATGCAACTTAGCAGCTAGTGCTACTGTCATACTTGAATCCAAGATTACTGCAGTAATTTCAAAGAAAGTGAAGATAGGTCTGCTAACTATAACTAATAGCGACTGAAGTAAAGAGAAGTTAACAGGAGAAAATCAAAACAATGAAAGAATAATATTAACATTAAATGTATGATACAACCTATTGAAGTTTTCCTTTTTGCCCGTCCCAATAGTGAAGGATAAAAGCATCTGCCAAATTGGCAAATGCCAAATTCATCCTGTTCCTTCTTTGACTTGAATAAGGATAATCAAACTTCAAGGCATTCCTTGACACCTTGCTCAAAGTTGTCCAGACAGGTCAGTGTATCCATGAGAGCATTTGCAACCTTTTGTCTGTTTAAAAAAAATAGCATGTTCATGCCATAAGACGGTATGATCAAAAGATAAAGGAAGAATCAAACATGAAATATCTAGCTTGTTATCATGTTTATCAGTCTTATAAAATGTAAAATTTTGCTTAAAATAAATCAACACAAGTTTTGAGAAGAGTACAAATAGAAATTGTTGCATATCACTAATTATACCTATTAGAAGCAACTTGCACATCAAATTCATTTGCCATGTCACTGAGAGAAGCAAAAGACCTGCACCCACAAGAAATACAGAAAGCATTGTGACAAATAATTTATGTCAAATCCCTCCAACACATGCATGCATAGATGAGTCATTGTGATAACTCAAGACCGAATTTTAATGTCTCCAGAGCACGTGAAATATGGAAAATAGGCAATGAATGTACGCTCTTTCCATATCCTTTTAGAAACTAAATCAGTACCTAATAAGGATAGTTCTATGGTAACACGTAATATGAAATTTCCCAACCCAGATTTTTTAGCCACCAGCAGGTACTGAAGGTAAGATTAGTTGCTTCGATATGTGGACAAAAACCAAGCTACTATAACAAAAACATTTTCTAGAACATCGGCTAATGAACAGATAAGACAACTCCACCTTAAATGTACAGAGATCAACCTACTTCTTGAAGTGTTTATAGCTCGACATACAAGATATATCGGTCACAACAAGTTTTACTAGCTACCTTATGAGATCGATAAGTTTGGCTTCAGCTGCTAACTTTACCGGGTCCTTGTCAGGAAGCAAAGAAGAAGCATTTTTCACAACCAGCTGGAATGTGCAAACCTGAAAATTAGGAATTTTTCATATGAGCCACAAACAACACACACATAGGTCAAAAAGATATAAGAACCAAAAAATAGAGTGAATCCTAACTACTCTTTTTTGCTTAAATATTTACTTTTGTTTCCACAGCTTCTCATCTCCCTATGTAACACGCCACTCTAAAAAATTGCATCACCATAGAACAAAATCTAGAATATATATATATATATATATATATATATATATATATATATATATATATATATATGTAATAGAAACTAGTAACATGTCCACACCACTTATACACTCAATCAATCAACTATAACAATTGAGATCGGGCATATGAATCATCCGTATACGGTATAAATGCAACTCAATTCAATTACATAATTAGATCATTTTTCGCTGTTGATTATTTTTGCATTATCCATCAACCTACCACACCCTCTCGAGACTGGCTATGCTTAGCAAAACTCTCAATACGCGAAGTCAAACCACTAGTGCACTTGGCTTAGAAATAAGTACATTAGCAATTTAACTCAAATAAGTACTCACTTGTTAAAATGTCATTAAAAATGCCATCAAAATCAACAAGAAGCTGGTAAATTATGATTCAATCATAAGTCAAAATTCAAACCTCAACTCCTGATTTTGATTGAAACTGAACGAAGGAATTCCTCTCTTGAGGCACACAATCCCTTGCAGCAGACCTCAATAAGCTCTGAACTTCTTCAAGTTCCTTTTCACCAAACTCTGGTTCAGTTCTAGCTGTCAAATACAAAGCAACTGATTCATCTCACCATAACAGTATTATAAAAAATAAAAAAAAGAGGTTATTTCAAAATACACAGTATGTTATTACTAAGTAAGAGATTAGCATATCGGAGGATGTTTCTAGAAGCCTCGATTGGAGCCAAAAGGTACTTCGCAGTCTTCTTCTTCTGATCTCTCAGCCATTCTTTTGGTCCTGCTGAGAACATTTTCGCAAACCAAAACAATTCAGTTAGACTATGTTTAATTTCAACTTAAAAAAAACTCGAGATAAGTAAATACATATGCCGAAGGAAAAAGCGGAGGCAGGATGAGTTAGAGGAGCAATGAGTGAGAGCCAAACGACGGCGTTTCTACGGCTGAAAAACTTTGCTTCGATCGGCGGCGTAGGCGGCGGTTGTTTCACCGATGGCGGAGGTTTCAGGGGCGTCGGAGGCACGGTGGAGGAAGGGATAAGGGTGATACTCAGCGGGGTCATGGTGGTTGAAACGCAACGGTATTGGTAGTGTTTTTGTCCTTTTTCTAAAATATCATTTCATATCAAGTTTATAAAACGCATAATAAATAAATGTGCCATTTAATTTTGAACGTGCATAAATAGAAATTTAAACTTATATAAAGTTGAACAAATAGATATATGTATCTATATATTATTCTACATGTCATTTTTTGTTCTACGTATATTCTGTCATGTAGCACTCACGTGTTTATTTATTTAAAAGTTGGATAATTAAAGTGCCTTTTGTGCATTATGAAAGTTGGAGATCAAAGTTAAAATTTGAAGTCAAGTTTAGAATCTAATATACGTATGCCTTTATAAAATGTGAAAATTAATTAAATAAGATAAAAATGTATGTTGTAGTTATAGTTTGAATAATTGTTCCATAGAAAATATAAACATGTATATTTTGTTATATATATACAAAAGAAAACAGTTGTATAATTTACTTTGGTATACATATATATAGAAAATCAATTGTATAATCTGTTTTTGTATAAAGCGAGAAAGACAAAAAAAACTTTGATAAGTGTATAAGACGAAAATATATGCATTTATATATACAAAGATCCGACGAAAATATATGCATTTATATATACAAAGATCCATATTTCAGAGGGAAAAAAATGGAGATGCGGGGGATCGAACCCCGTGCCTCTCGCATGCAAAGCGAGCGCTCTACCATTTGAGCTACATCCCCAATTTGCTAATTGTTATTATTTAAATTACAACTATAAAATAGAATATTATTACATACCATTTTGTTGTATTCATTCCTCATCAGTATATATAAATATATATTAACCTTGTTGTTACAGCCAAGAGGAGAATCTAAGACAAACTAACAATGTTTATACCCAATAACTTGTCCTAGTGCGCGCGCTTGCAAGTTAGTACACCAACTTGTAAACTCACTCGATGCTATAGTTATGCTCTTGTATCGAGGCAAACATGGGAGGGATGCCTTGTTGATGTCGAAAAACATTTAGTGGGTCAATTATTGTCTTAGCCTTAACCAACCTATCGTAGTTATTCAAGAAATACTTTTGACCCCAGGCGCGAGCTCTCTCTATTGCATGGCCAGCATTAGTATTTATCAATAAGTTGTCCATCACTCCAAGGTCCAAATCTATGTAGTTGACATAAGCTTCCCTAGGCGCGCTTGAAACAAAGGGCGCCATTGTATTGTAAAACTCTCTTATCCACTCTATGTACGCGTTGCTCTTGGTGATACTATTATCCTTTTCTTCCCACTCTACTAGATATTGAATTCCGTAAAGGTTACCTTTTCTATGAGGGAAAGCAATAGCGTCCTCACTAATCCTCTCCATGGCTCCGCCATAAGGGTCCAATATGATGTGTCCCTTGGGCTCTTTCTCAAGTACATCAAGAGTTGCCATTATTCCATCCATTGAAATTGGGGTCTTAACATAGTCTGACTTGGCTTTGAAGTATGATTTTTTCTCAAAGTAGCGTTGTTTTAAAAGGGAGACGTTGGAAGTATTATCTAATTCAGAAAAGAAAAGTATGGACTCGATCCAACTCATTTCTTTGAAGTCATGTTTCTGAATGCCCAATTCAGGAAAGACCTTGTTCAAGATGGAAATGGCTTTAGTTCTTGGACCTAGGTAAAATCCATTGAATTGGGCTTTTATTTCATGAATATCTCTTCTAGCATTAGCTCTAATGGAGACGGATAGGTAAAATTCATCGTCTAGTTTTGGTGCAACTAGTTGCCATTTGTGAACAAGTTGAGCCACGTAACGTTTTGATCCAGGCCTAGAGAGTATGAAACTAGCTACAATCTTAGGTACTTCAAGCAATTGAATTTTCCAAGCATATACAACTCCCCATACTCCACCACCACCACCTCTTATCGCCCAAAATACGTCTTCTCCCATGGATTCGCGGTCTACTATCCTTCCTTCTGCATCCACTAGAAGCGCGTCCACCACATTATCAGCAGCCACTCCGTACTTCCTTGACAAAAAACCAAAACCACCTCCGGATATGTGTCCACCAACCCCCACAGTAGGGCACGAACCAGCTGCAAATCCTCGAACATTGCTTGCTCGAGAGATTGCATAGTAAGTCTGACCAAGCGTAGCGCCACCCTGCACCCAAGCTGTTCCTGATTCTAAATCCAACGAAACGTTATCTAATATCATCAAATCAATGATCACAAACAACGAACCACCCTCCAAGGAAACCGATGAAGTCCCTTCATAACTATGTCCTCCACACCTTACTCTTATCTCATACGAACCTCGTATGCAACACATAACACTGCTTACTAGCTGCTCCTTACTCTCAGGTACAATAATAACTATCGGTTTTGGTATTTTGGACTCCGCGAAACGGAGATTCTGAATAGAAAAATCAAGCAAGTTAGAGTAAGAACTATCATCATCCCCTGTTTTGTAAACAGAGAAGTTACTTACTTTGTAACTCATCAAACATGTAACGAGGTTTACGCTATTCGTAGCGAAGGAAAGTTGAATAAGAGAAATAAATATGAATAAGATGATCATAATTCGTTTCATGACGAAGTTTTGCTTTGTTTACTTCTCCATTGATATACACATAAGTTGTTGTTTTATACAAGGAAGACATCAGATTAAAGACAAAAAAAAAGATGAAACAGAATGAGAGGTGCCGGCCTATTATAAATTGTTTTAACGAACACTTAATTATTTTTGTGTACGTGAAAATTATAACATGACAATACGATAAACACATCAATTCTGCAGAGTAATTTAGTGAAATTGCCGGCCAACAGCAACATATACATACCACAGACAAAATTATTAGAATTATTAATAGTTTTAAAAATACCTTTCTACTTCACTAACTAAATTTAGATATACATCGGTTCTGTCACATGACATAACGAGTGATCTCAAATTCTTAAAAGAACATGAGGTTTTCAGTAAGTTGAGCGAAACGTTGAAAATACCCCTAAACTCATGTGGCAAGATCATGCTGTATTTAAGTTCGATTAGTTAAATGAGTATTTATAAGACTATCAAAAGCTTGTGAATGAAACTAATAATTGGCATCAAATTTAAGGATATTTTCAGTATTTCTCTCTTCAATTTGTGATTTTATTTTAGTTCCTTTTGACCTTATTTATATATATATAAAAAATACATAGCAATAAATTAATGCGTGATCATTCATTATTCGTAGTATCAACTCTTCATCTCCCTGGCTCTACTTTTAATGTAAACCTTTGGTTTTACAGTTGCCAGGTTCATTCATGTATGTACTATATATATATTTTTCCCTAATTGTCACTCTCTTAACACATTATTATTTGGTGGAGAAAACAATAGCTGATAATTAACAAAATGGTAGGTAACCTGACTTCTATTTTATTTTTCATTGCAAACTATGTTGTAGCTGTGTGTTGTTTTTTCTTGTTTTTCATCTCATAACATAATACATGAATATGACATAACTTGGTATTGATCGACGTATATGTCCTCCAACTTTGAATGTTCATATAAGTAGCCATCATACACTCTCTAATTTTACATAATACGTGTAGAATACCAACTAAGATGTTGTATAGGCCGTGAATTGCCACATAGGATGCCAAGTAGGATACGTGTTTACTTATTTAATTTTGTATAAATTTAAGTGTCTACATTTGAGACGAGGACAATTTCCCACTACCGTTAGGAAAAAGTGTAGTTTTAGCCCTTTTATTCCAAAAAAAAAAACTCTTTTAAATTATAGTAAAATGTTAATATGTATTTGAATTTGAACACGTGATGTCCCCTATGTAAACCTTAATGGCAAAATGCAAATCCGATATGATTTGTTAATGACAAAGTAGATAAAATTGATCAATTCTGATAATAAAAAGGCAGTCTGATACATAAAGTATCTCACATTCATATAGAGTTAAAGTAGATAGTCTAGCATGACCATTGACCAAACATCAATGACTGATTTCACGACTCGAATCCGAAATACTCAAGTCACACATAAACGACTTTATTGTTGTTATATGATATTGTCATAGACAAACTTAGTCATTTTCCCTATATTTTATGTAAGAGCTAATTAGTTTGATTAACTATGTTTAATTATGTAGGAATATCATCAACCAAGTTATGATCAAGCAAAGTTAATGTTGATTGAACCATGGGGAGGCTCAAATGGTTCAGAATGGAATTACAAACTCACAAATCCCATTAAAGAGATAATCATAGCTCATGATGATAATGTTATAAACTCCATTATTTTCAGAACAATTGGTCAAGAAGGTACAATTGATTCACCAAAATTTGGTGGCAATGGGGGATATAAAAAAGCTAAGGTATGTCAATTTTTTTGGACTAGTAAACATATAGTCACGATTTATTTAAAATAGTTCGGAGAATATGATAGTCAAAACTCAAAACGCGTACTATGATGGCATAGGTTCTTCCACTTTTTGAAAACTATACTGAAAAGTACTAAGTCAAAATTGTCTCGTTTATCAGGTTACTATTGAAAATGCCCCTGAAGAATATTTGACAGGTATCAAAGGCAAACTAGGGTATTATACTGGCCATTTGGTTGTAAAATCTCTCTGTTTTTCGACTAATTTGAAGTGTTATGGACCGGTAGGTGGGAACGAGGTAGGAGGTACCTCGTTCTCACTCGTGATAAAAGAAAATGGCGCGATTCTAGGATTTCATGGACGTTCTGGAGCGTTCCTTTATGCTATTGGTATTTATTTGAAGAATGTCACACCACCTGAACAAATAAAACTATTAAAACAACCTAAAGTTGAAGAAAGTCCTGATGAGTTCCCCAATGTAAGTATATGTGTTATAGTGGATAAAGTTCAGTTACTTTAACGTGTTTTTAATAATAACATCATTATATGTACAGAAAATGGACGTGATGAAGGGTATTCAACCGCGATGCCCCGGACCTTGGGGAGGATATAGTGGAAAAGGTTGGGATGATGGTGTATTTTGTACTATCAAGCAAGTACATATTTATATGAACACAATAATTTCAGCTATATCTGGAATTCAAATTGAGTATGAAAAGAAAGACAAAATGTCAGTTTGGTCACAACTTCATGGTGGTTTTGGTATTGGAGTTGGAAATCATGACAATGTTGTTAAAAAGGTATGAGTATTTTTCGAATTTGAAATCGAGATATAATTACTTTGTTCGTTTAATTCTTTTTTTTGTGTGATATTGATATGCAGATAAACATTAATGATGAAAACGAGTTCTTGATTGGAATCGAAGGATATTATAGTCTAGTGAAGGAAAATGGAGGCCAAGATACATTAAGACAAATTGCATTTTATACAAATAAGGGAAAATATGGACCTTATGGAAGTGAAATTGGAACTTATTTTAGTTCTTCAACAGCTAGAGGAAAAATTGTTGGTTTTCATGGGAAAAGTGGTCTTTTCTTAAATGCTATTGGTGTTCACATGGAATATTTCTAAAAAGGTTACAAGAAAGTGTTTATTCTCTTCAAATTTTTCATCAGATATTCGATATTTATATTCATGAGATTTGAATTTATCATGAGCATACTCCTTCATCTGATATTCGATATTTATATTTATGAGATTTGAATTTATTACGAGTATACTCCTACTTCACATTAGTTGTTCGGAATCAAAATGTTATAATAGAAAAAAATACATTAGTTGTTCGGAATAAAAATGTTATAATAGAAAAAAATGGAGATGCGGGGGATCGAACCCCGTGCCTCTCGCATGCAAAGCGAGCGCTCTACCATATGAGCTACATCCCCAATATGTTTGTAATATTGTCTTTAATACTTATATAATATAGTTTCAGCAATGTCAAATATTGTTTTATGGAGTTTATGTTAGCTATTTTAGTTGTCTAGATTGGCATATATATATATATAATGACTGAATTAAGATAAATCAAATTGGAGGACACTTTTATGCAAGTACAAATTCGAAAAAATTACTAGAATATCATTGCTTAAAAGTGTAGCAAACATGAGTATATAATATCATGATAAAAAGAATAAAATGGAATTAATATCATACCATCATTCGATGAGCATGAACATTTTTTTTTTGTGAGGAAATTATAGTCTCAATCTAACTTGTTAACAATATATATAACGTCAGGATCACCTGATAAACATATAATACATTATAATCTTTATTCCTTTTATTTTTTTCAACATTATTGAAGATCTTACAATGAAATTAGAAATATTCCATATGAACACCAACAGCATTCAAGAAAAGACCACTTTTTCCATGAAACCCAACAATTTTCCCTCTAGCTGCTGAGGAGCTAAAATAAGTTCCAATTTCAATTCCATAAGGTCCATATTTTCCTTTATTCGTATAAAATGTAATTTGTCTTATTGTGTCTTGGCCCCCATTATCGTTCAGTGGACTATAATATCCTTCGATTCCAATAAAGAATTCATCGGTACCATCAACGTTTATCTGCATATCAAATTCATCGAACAAAATCAAAAATATTTCTCCTCAATTATATTTCGATTTCAAATTGATTATATGAGTCCTTTAGTCTAGAATCTAATGAACACAAAAGAATTGAACAAAAATTTGTGTGAGGTAAAGGATAAATATATATATATATATACCTTTGTAGTTTTTTTAGCCCCATGTTCATGACCATGAAGTTGTGACCAAAATGATGATTTATCTAATTTATTTTCATACTCAATCTGAATTGCTGATATAACTGAGCTATGTAAAGCCTCATGAACTTGCACTTGTTTTATAGTACAAAATACTCCATCATCCCAACCTTTTCCACTACATCCACCCCAAGGTCCAGCACTTCTTGGCACAATAGTCTTCATCACATCCATTTTCTGTGTATGCAAAATGTGAAGTTAAAATTACTTGTTCGTTACGAACAGTGTAAAAACTTCATACTCGATATTTACATCAATTTATTTAATTTACCATGGTAAAACGATTGAATAACGTGTGGAAGTATATACATATATGTATGTATGTTAAGTACCGAAAGGGGATTTATGTGCAAATACATATCATGCATATATTGGATTATGTGTCATTTTATTAGGGAGTATAGGAAAAACTAACCTCATGTGTTGACATGTGTCTAACTAGGGTTAGTATTGTATTCACCGCTCCTATCAAATCTAAAACTTTATGCACAAACTAAATCATGTTTCTTAAAGAGAAACAATTCTTGAAGGTTCAACAGACCGAGTTTGCAGTTTTTAGTAAGATCAGTTCAAGATTTAGCTATAGCAACAAACTTATCTAATCTGACAGATAAATCAATGTTAATAACAGATTTGATTCCACATTTACAAAACTCGTACGATGAGAGAGAAGAATAATATACGTACGTCATGAATTTCAATTTCTTCCACTATTGGTTCATTTGGCTCAAGTTTTTTCTCATCTTTTTTTGGAACAGTTAGTTTGTTCACATAAACACCAATAGCATCGAGGTACGAGTCAGCTAGCCCATGTAATCCAACAATAGCTCCACCTTCTTTTATCACAAATGAAAATGGAGTCCCATCCTCTTTACCAAATGGTCCATAAATATTCTTTGCATTTGTTACAAAACTTAGAGATTTTACAACCAAATTGCCTTTGTAATTTCCATATCTACCCTTGATCCCTACCAAAAATTCCAAGGAAGTCTCCTTAATAACAACCTGTCATTAATGGAAATAAAATAGTACCAGAGTCAGAAATTTTAATTCAAACATCATAAACTATATCAAAATCATGCATAGAATTTAAAAATTTGTAGCCAAAAGAAAATTGATCAATACAATTGTTGTCGTTCACCCATACGGTTAAACTAAAAAATAGTGAGCGGATGTATCATATGTGTATATCAACTAAAAAAATAATCAGTAAATCTATCTGACTATTTGTGTGAAGATCCCGAAAATAAATATGTATACCTTGTCTCTCCGACCTCCATTGCCACCAAATCTTGGTGATTCTATTCTATCTCCTCGTTCATTCATAGTAATAAACATGATGGAGTCTATAACGTCTCCATGATTTATCAATATCTCTTTAATTGGACTTTTAAACTTGTAATTCCATTCTAATCCACCAATTCCTCCCCATGCCTCTACCATTATTTGATCAACTTCATCATAACTCACAAGATTTCCCTTTCACATATACAAAAATAATCAAATATAATAGATATATATACTTATTATAATATGTAAAAAAATAATAAGAAGAAATGTACGTACCATTTTTTGGTGATTTTGTGCGAGCTTTGATTTTATATTATTTAAGTTGTATCGTGCTATATATATATATAAGGTGTTAGAAGAATAACACACCTATAAGTCATTAATTAGTTATAAGAAAGGTATATGTGCTTTGTACATATATAAAGTGAAGAAAAAGAAAGTGATTAAGCAAAGCATAGAATATATATATATTAATTAATTATATATATATATCTTTTTATAAGTTAATAATCAATCAATAATAATAATAATAACATATTTCGTGTAAAAAGGTAAAATGTAAACATAAGTTATAACTAATTAATATGCATTAATAATTTAATATAGTTGTACTTCGGAATTACTCAGTTGGTTAGGAGGGTGGTTATCCACGCAGATGACCCGGGATCGATCCTCCTCCCTCAATGCCTTCTGAGTCGAGCCTGTTGCATGGGACTTGCCTAGTGTGGTTTATATCTCTTGTGTGGCTTGCCGACTATTACACTGTGGAATGTGGAGGGTTTACCTAGTGCGCACTGGGCAAAGGTTATAGCGACTGCGAATAAAATGAATCCCAAAAAAAATAAAATTCGATAACCCAAAAATTAATTCAAAATAATAATATTGACACGGTCAACTATCTCTCTAGGTTCTTTTTATTTATATAAATATAACTTGTAGGATTCGGAATATAAGAGAAACTATCTGATTGTTTTATATGAAAATATATATGATCAACATCAAATATTCATGTTTTTAAAATAAAATCATACAATTAGAAATTACATAATAATTTGAAATATCCTTTATATAAACACTTCTAAAACATTTTATCTTTATGATTAAACTCACCAAATTATAATCTTTATTACATGAATTCGGATAATATAGTAAGTAATTTTTAGTGTATGAATCTTTCTTTTTCCATGAAGCATCACGTCTAATTCTTAAATATTACTTTAAATTATTAGTCTAATATTAATTATATTCCAGCTAGTGGCTTTTTTTTTAAAAAAAAAATAATTACTTTTTTTAATTAGATACTGACTTGTGTTGCTAATTATTTGACAAAAAAAAAGAGGAACAAATGTTGTTTGCTTTAGTGCTTTTGAAAGGTGATTAATTTTTCCAGGTGAAATGCAATGTAAATAGTAATATTTTAATGCCAAAAACATAGGGGGGCAAACTATGAAAAAAGAAAACAATAAAGAAGATAGATGGACTTTTTTTATTTTATATGGTGATTAAAAAAAATGTTAATAGATTAATCTGGACCTTATTCATGTTAATTAGCCTCTTGAATAAAAAAATTATTGGATCTTTAAAATTTATTTAAACTTTCAAAGGTTATATTAATTGTCGAAGTAAAAAGGGATAAATTAATTAAGTTTATCATGATCTGATAAGTGATTAAATAATGTGAGATAAATATTTATAGTAAGATGCTCATCTAATATAGAATGGAAAAAAGACTACTAAAATTTGTTTAAATTTTTAAAAGCCATATTTATTGTAGACGTAAAATAATTTTTTTTATAATAAGTAATAAAATAATGTGAGACAGATATTTTCAATAAAATACTTATCTAATATAAAACGGAGGGAATACCAAAATTATTATGCTGATTTGAGTACTTTCTTGATAAGAAACTTTTCATAAATATTATATATAAAGGAGAAATGTTTATGTGGCCTCCATTCATATTTATTTATTTTTTCTTTTTTTTTGGCAATTTTTCCTATATAAATACAATAATTTACTTACTAAGAAAGACAATTCAATCATTCGCAAATAGAAATTTTAAAAAATAAAAGTACGTTATCTTTTTTAGTCTTTTTTTTGTTGTTGTGATTTCATTTCCTGCAAGGCAGTATAGAAGTGATTTTTTTTATCGGCATTTTTTAGATCAGAAATGAAAGGATATATCAGCCTTCGAAATATTATCAGACATTTTGTTGTCAAGCTTATAAGTCAAGTACACAAAAAGAGTTTATAAGTGAAGACATTCTCAGCTGAAGGTAGGGTGGTCTTCGTCCACTCTTACTCGAACAAAAAATCTCTTCCTCATCTTGACTCATGACGTTTTTATCAAGTAATATATTCTCATTATCATTCTCCGTAAAAAAAAATTAATTAAGCCCATAAACTTTTTATAAATTGTATGCAACAAAATAAATGAATGCTCTTAAATGCAACTGTTTTTATCTTTACTTTTTATTACTAGAGTATTACTTATTTTGGAGCAAGTATATATCGCACTCAAAATTCTGTTCAATTCATCATACGATAAAAAAAAATTCATATCAGGTTAATCCCTTTTGAATTTTTTTATTTTTATTTTATTTTCTCTTTCTTTTTAAAATATTTATATAATATTATATTATTACTTGTGATATATGTTTGTGTATTTGTCTGGTGACTAATCACATTGAATTCTTTAATTTTATTTTTTTTAAAAAATATTTATATAATAATATATTGTTACTTGTGATATATGTTCGTGTTGTTTTTGTAAATTGAAAATAGATGGCTAGGTAATGGAATCAAGTGTAGACATAATTTTATCTTATTTTTGCAGTAAGTTTTTTTATTATTTTTAGTAGATTAATATGATTTTTTATTTATTAAATTGTTAATCTCCTCTTCTTCTGATTCTTCTAATGTTTAAGATTCTTTTTTTAAAAAAAAAGAAATGAGTAATGATTTTTTGTTTTATGAATTGTTAATATAGCTTTAATATTCTTTAAGACTCGCTTATTATTTTTGCAATAAAAATAGTTGATGAATACTTTTAAAGTTTTTTCTTTTTTAACAAATAAAGTGTAGCTCTTGAAAGTTAGAGCAAAAATTAGATATATACTTAATTAATTTTAATGAATAGATGGAAAAGAAATGTTTTCTATGACAGTCATGATTCTCGGAAGAAATCAATTACGAGAAAAATGATTGAAAGAAATCTTTTTAAGTGATATAATTCATTCATTATTATTATATCTTGTAAATGATAGCTTACAACTGTACTTGTATACGAGAAGAGAACTGAAAATATTTAATTTTTTTTTATTTTTTGCATTATTTCCTTGGTAATACATACAAAAGATGTAAAAGGCCACCTTCTTAAGAAATAATAGAAAATCTATGATGTTCGATGGTCCTATACAAACATATCTATGTGTTTGTTGTTTGTTCAATAAACGAAGTAAAATTATGTTTAAATTTGTACACATCAATATAAAAATATTACGTTCTTATTTTGAAGCTTATCTCAGTCTTTCATGAGTCAGCTTTAAAAGATAATATAAATTATTATTATTATTATATAATTCAAGTATATTGGAATGATTAAAACAAAGTATAAATCATTGTTTCATTTATATGGATTGTTATTATATATAATTCAAGTATTTTTTATAGTGATTAAAAAATAGAAAAGTTAAAAGAAAGATAAAAAGAAAATAACTAACAATAATGCATAGCTTAAACTTTAAGAAACAATCTCTTTAAATTTTAAGACTAAAATAGTTTGTAATAGTTTTGGTACTTGGGTATTAAGATAATAAGTAGAAAATTCAATAAGATTTTATATAATCACACGTATCGCGAATTAATTCACTTGTAATATTATAGTAAGTATTATATTTTTGACGTAAAATATTTTGCCAAATATAATGCTATTTTATCACAATTCACATGTCATATTTTCTATTAAATTTATTATAACATGATTAATTTTTTATGCAAATATAATTTATATATTTATGATTTATTTTAAATAACAATATTCTTTTTATCTATTTTTATTTAGGGAAAATTGTATATAATAGCAAACTAATAACCTAAAATAAATGGGATAGCTAGGGTTTGATTTAATTGTGCTCCATAGCAAACGTTAACTAAAATTTGTCAGCATCTCTCTCCCAGAAATCTCGCTTGCCTCTCTCGCTTTATACACAGAAGTGTATAATTTTGTTTTTGTTTTGTATAAAGCGAGAGAAAATTGTATATACACATGCAAAAATATATATCTTCGTATTATACACTTAATTATACAGTTTACAAACATTTTACTTCAAATATTGCAGAGAAAAAGACCAACGAATTATACAATTGCAGTGAAATACAATTTTTTCTAGCTTTATACAACAAAAGTGTATATATTGTGTCTCTGTTTTTGTATAAAGCGAGAGAAAAACATATGTCTTCTTGCTATACAATTATAATTATGCAATATACATACATTTTAATTCGATTCAACTGTATGCAAATCAAATTTTATAAAAATATTGCAGCGAAATAGGCAGCGAATTATACAATTGTGCATTATACAGTCGCAGTGAAATAGGATAGCGAATTATACAATTGCAGCGAAATAGGCCAGCGAATTATACAATTTAAGCCAGTGAATTATACAATTTTGGCCAGCGAATTATACAATTGTATATGTATAGCGAATTATACAGTTTTATGTTTACTATGGAGCGCAATTATGCAAACTTTGCTATAACATATAAATATAATTTTTTTTTACATTATTTTAAAATATCTAACAATATTTATCTATTTTATTATATCAATGAAAAATTAAATTTATATCTTCATTTTAGACTCATTTGCCAGCTAAAAATGTTGCAAAGTATTTTATTATTTTATGAGTACTGAATTTCGTATGTAGTATAAAATACTAAAAGAATTATTTAAATAAGACTTTTTGTAATCAAATAAAATGCTCTTTCAGATATACCCTATAAAATAAAGTTTAAATTGATCAATTTATAATATAAATATCGATAACCAAAAAAATAATTATTATCTATAAAACTTTAATTAGGTAAAAATAAAATATTTATCATTCTGATCAATCTGTACAGTGGGGGAATATTGTTACTGAATATTACCGCGGTAAATTCTTGAGAAGTATATATAATGAGAAAAAACAAACGGTCGCCTCAAAAATTGCAATGGCAATGAAAATTTCACCAGTCTACATCCCTACCCCTTAGCTAAAAATTTGCTTTTCCGCCATTTTAAAGCTCCAATTTTCCGGTCA